CATAACTTTGCACCTTTTGATGTAAATGTTTGAGGACAGGGTTTTGTTCTTTCTGTATTCAATTAAAATGACAATCACAGAGAAAGGGACAGAGCAACAACTCTTACAATTCCAACTATTGAATCCTGCAAGATACTGTTCCTAATTATACAACCACCATTTTTTAAACCATTGCAACAGATGTCAATATCGGTCCGCTAATACTAGCAAAGGCCCAGTGCACTACTTTTTTGAAAATATATATTTTTGAAAAAATCATAAATGTTTCTATTAACATATATTTTTAATTCCGATTTTTCAGGGGGTGCTGAAGCACCACTACTTCCCGCGGCTATGGGCGTGGCCAGGGGCGCCTAGAACAGCATATGCTGGTTTCGGCCAGCAGTTACAGTTTACCCAGCCGGACAGCGCCCAAGGAACAGATGACAGCCTGGCAGCGCTCCAGAGTCACTTCTTCAGTGGTAGGCTAACGGTGACGGTTTGGATCACCAGTGTCTTCTTCAGTGGTAGGCTAACAGTGACGGTTTGGATCACCAGTGTCTTCTTCAGTGGTAGGCTAACGGTGACGGTTTGGATCACCAGTGTCTTCTTCAGTGGTAGGCTAACGGTGACTGTTTGAATCGATTTTTCTTTGATATGTTTTGGATGTTTTAAATCAAATGCCATCCTTCCTCCCAGATACACCAGTGTAGCATACCTGCGGCTAGCACCTCTTTCTCTCTGCACTTTTCTCTGTGTGACTTGGAATGTCCTACATGTCTTAATTGTCTCGGGTGAGATATATTGGTCCTTCTTTTTAAAGCCCAAAGCCTAGTCTTGACCCTGACCCGCAGGTTTGCGTAACAATCTTAAATCTGTTGACATACAGGTGTGTGTGGGTAATGTACACTGAGTGCACAAAACATTAAGAACACCTTCCTAATATTGAGTTGCACCCCCTTTTGCCCTCACAACAGCCTCAATTCGTCAGGGCATGGACTCTACAAGGTGTGTAAAGCGTTCCACAGGGATGCTGGCCCATGTTGACTCCAATGCTTCCCACAGTTGTGTCATGTGGGCTGGCTCCTTTGGGTCGTGGACCATTCTTGATACACAGGGGAAACTGTTGAGCATGAAAAACCCAGCAGCAGCATTGCAGTTCTTGACACAAACCGGCGACCCTGGCACCTAATACCATACCCTGTTCAAAGGCACTTAAATCTTTTGGCTTAAAAATCCTTCTTTAACCTGTCTCCTCCCCTTCATCTACACTGATTGAAGTGGATTAAAAAAAAGTTAAATCAAAGGGTTCATAGCTTTCACCTGGATTCACCTGCACAGTCTGTCATGGAAAGAGCAAGTGTTCATAATGTTTTGTCCACTCAGTGTATCGATACGCAGGTTGTAGATTAGGCTACAGGGTCTCACACCTTCCAAATATCAGCTTTTATTTAACCATGTAACAGCCATCATACTGTTTGACATTACATCGTTGGTTAGCAGGTTTAGTTTAAAACAGCAGACGCACAACAAACCCTGGAATAGATCCATTCAACTCCTCCCTCCGTGCCACAAATGGCATCCTTTCCCCTATATAGTCCACTACTTAAGGGATAGGGCTCTGGATAGGGTGCCATTTGGGATGTAAATTAGGTATACTTTTGACATGTTGCTATTAGCAACAACTCCACTGATGTACAGTCCATGTATGATCCAGTCTTTTAGAGTTACAGCAGGAAACCTACTTAGAGGCTACTTATCACCGTCATAAGCCATACTTAAGGCCTACGTCATCCCTGCAGAGGATCCATAGCCCAATCCTAGATCTATTACAGGTCTGTAAGGATTGGATAGTTTCAGATGTAGGATATACAAATACCTGCTGGAAGGGTGTGGCGTTGTGATTGGGTCTGTACGTGTCATATTTGAATAGAATACTGTCAAGATTATGCCTTTATATATGAAGCCCTCATGCACTGCTTATGAAGGTGCTATGTACTGCTTATGAAGCTCTTATGTACTGCTTATGAAGGTGCTATGTACTGCTTATGAAGCTCTTATGTACTGCTTATGAATGTGCTATGTACTGCTTATGAAGGCACTATGTACTGCTTATGAAGCTCTTATGTACTGCTTATGAAGGCGCTATGTACTGCTTATGAAGGTGCTATGTACTGCTTAAAAGGTGCTATGTACTGCTTATGAAGCTCTTATGTACTGCTTATGAAGGTGCTATGAACTGCTTATGTTGCCACCACTGATAATAAAATCCTCCTCTCCGTCTCGTCAATATCAATATTTACAAACTCATGATCTGTTCCTCATTTCCCACAAATCATCGGAATTAAATAATGTCAATATTAATAAAGTAAAAGCAACAACAGACTAACTACAGACATCAGTCGCTCAGCAAAAAGCATTTCAGGAAAATCGGAGAAAATCTAATTAAAATTCATCCGCAGTCTCTGATTCTGACAAACACAAAGTCAAGTACATCAGTGTCCTTCAATCCCAGTCCTGGGAACCCACAGGGTGTGCAGGGTTTTGTCAAAGGGCTTGATGATTGATGGAACCAGGATGAAAGAAAAGTGAAATATAGAATATCTTGATATACATTTCAACATATAAATCATGTATATTGACAACAACAGAAGATATATGGAGATGGTGGACCTGTCATTATCCTGACCAGGATTCTGGGAACTTTCCCCAAATAGATGCTGCTTTCACTGGGGGTGTCTCTGTTCTCTAGTCCAGGGGTGGGACAGTCTACCACTGGGGGTGTTTCTGTTCTCTAGTCCAGGGGTGGGACAGTATGACTGGGGGTGTCTCTGTTCTCTAGTCCAGGGGTGGGACAGTCTACCACTGGGGGTGTCTCTGTTCTCTAGTCCAGGGGTGGGACAGTATGACTGGGGGTGTCTGTTCTCTAGTCCAGGGGTGGGACAGTATGACTGGGGGTGTCTCTGTTCTCTAGTCCAGGGGTGGGACAGTCTACCACTGGGGGTGTCTCGGTTCTCTAGTCCAGGGGTGGGACAGTATGACTGGGGGTGTCTCTGTTCTCTAGTCCAGGGGTGGGACAGTCTACCACTGGGGGTGTCTCTGTTCTCTAGTCCAGGGGTGGGACAGTATGACTGGGGGTGTCTCTGTTCTCTAGTCCAGGGGTGGGACAGTATGACTGGGGGTGTCTCTGTTCTCTAGTCCAGGGGTGGGACAGTCTACCACTGGGGGTGTCTCTGTTCTCTAGTCCAGGGGTGGGACAGTATGACTGGGGGTGTCTCTGTTCTCTAGTCCAGGGGTGGGACAGTCTACCACTGGGGGTGTCTCTGTTCTCTAGTCCAGGGGTGGGACAGTCTACCACTGGGGGTGTCTCTGTTCCCTAGTCCTGGGGTGGGACAGTCTACCACTGGGGGTGTCTCTGTTCTCTAGCCCTGGGGTGGGACAGTCTACCACTGGGGGTGTCTCTGTTCTCTAGCCCTGGGGTGGGACAGTCTACCACTGGGGGTGTCTCTGTTCTCTAGTCCAGGGGTGGGATAGTATCACTGGGGTGTCTTTGTTCTCTAGTCCAGGGGTAGGACAGTATGACTGGGGGTGTCTCTGTTCTCTAGTCCAGGGCTGGGACAGTATGACTGGGGTTGTCCCTGTTCTCTAGTCCAGGGCTGGGACATTATGACTGGGGGTGTCTCTGTTCTCTAGTCCAGGGCTGGGACAGTATGACTGGGGGTGTCTCTGTTCTCTAGTCCAGGGGTGGGACAGTATGACTGGGGGTGTCTCTGTTCTCTAGTCCAGGGGTGGGACAGTCTGACCCTGTCAGGGCCACAGTGGGTGCAACACATCGGATTCCACTAATAAAGTCTTTATTGATGACTATGACTAATTGATAAGTTGAATCAGCTGTTCTTTATTGACAACTATAATTTGACTTGATCATGTATGAACTATAATTAATCAACTATAAAAGGTGATTAGTTGAACCAGGTGTTTTACTGCAGGGCCGGAGCAAAAGCCTGCACCCATACCAGCTCCTACGGAGTAAGGTTGGGCAACCCCTGTTCGACAGACAGACAGGCGTTTCAAACTGCATCTTTAAAATGGAAGAAACACACAATAGCCAAAACACACACAGCAAAACACAGCTAAAGTAGTCCAACAGAACAGAAGCACCACTTAAATAGTCAGAGGCTGCATCCCAAACCACACCCTGGAATAGGGGGCCTTTTGGGACACCTGCAAAGACCGAACAAGATCCTCTGGATATAAAATATACAAATCCCATGTCTGGAAAAGGATGATCATATTTGGAATCACGCTCCCTCTGTTCTCCAGAGAGAATAAAAGGAGAGAGAAAGAGAAAGAGTGATAGAGAGCGAGAGAGAAAGTGATAGAGAGAGAGAGAGAGAGAAAAATAGGGAGAGAGCGAGAAATAGAGAGAGAAATAGAGAGAGAGAAAGTGATAGAGAGAGAGAAATAGAGAGAGAGAGAGAAATAGAGAGAGAGAGAGAGAGGGGTCATTAGAGGTCCATTCCACCCCAGACCAGACCGTTCTATTCATCCATCGATGAGGGGGGTGGAAGACAGTTCTCTCCCTGGAATGAACCATTATGACACCAGGCAGGGGTGCAGAGCCTCCAGGAAGTCTCCAGATAAAGGAGAGAGAAGAGAAGGTCCAACGACAACTAAAGTCCGTTGTCGTTTGTCTTTTTGCATAGCGAGCGAGACGGTGGTTGCTTTAGTAACAGCCAGCCACAGTTTCAGATGGAGGAGGAAGGATGAGTTTTGGGGGGGGGGCGGGGGGTGGAGTGTCTTGGTCCGTTTCAGTCCCTGTTTCTCTCCAACAGTGAGAGGGGTACAACCCCCTCTTCCCAAACATACACTCTCACAACGAAGACACTTTCTGGCGCTCGCGACCGTTAGATGTCTTCTTGACTTTAGAGACGCCCTCCAACATACCCGACTCCGTCACCCTGCAGAGAGAACAGAGAGAGAAAGAGAGAGAGAGGGTTAGAGATAGTTTCATACTGAACACATACCCTGCAGAGAGAACAGAGAGAGAAAGAGAGAGAGAGGGTTAGAGATAGTTTCATACTGAACACATACCCTGCAGAGAGAACAGAGAGAGAGAGAGGTAGAGAGGTAGAGAGAGAGAGAGAGAGAGAGAGAGAGAGAGAGAGAGATAGACAGTACATATATAGATAGAACAGATAAGAGAAATAGAGATAGATGGTTTCGAGATAGTTTTCCTACTGCCCACATACCCTGCCTAAGAAATAGAGAGAAAGAAGCGATAGGTTTATATAGCTAGATAGAGTCTAAATATCTAGAAGAGATAGAGGCAGACGATCCGACTATGGTTCGAGCTAGCTCCGATCGCGCGCTCCTCTCGCGAGAGCCCTCCAGATCAGATCCACCTCGAGCGCCCTAGATCACTCCTAGGATTTTTCCCCTCTGCTCTCTTCTCTCTCCTCTCTCATTCGCTCTCTCTCTCGTTTTCGCTCTTCTGCTCTCTCTCTATACTCTCTCTCTCTCTCCTCTCTCGCTACGCGCCCCTCCCATACTCTACTCCCGCCTCTGCTCCCTCTCTTCTGTTTTCCTCTCATCTCTATCTTGCTCTGCATCGCGCGCTCGCTTCTTTTTTCTCGCTCTCTCTCTCGCTCGCTCCCTCCCCTCTCTCTCCCCTCATCTCCGCGCCCAATCGACCTCTCTAGTTGTTCAGAGCTCCGATCGCGGCGCGCGAGAGCGAGCCCAGAGACAATATCGATAAAACGAATATGCTCTCCATAGCATCTAGTGTTCTAGACTAGAGTCGCTAGTCTCTATGCTCTACTCTCTCGCTCTATGTTCTTGTGGGGTATGCTTCGCTTCTCCCCTCGCGCTGGCGCTCTGTTCCCATCGCTCGCTGCGCTCCGCGCTCGCGCGCGCGGCCATACCTACCTCTGCTACATCCCCATCTCATTACTCCCGTCTCTCCCACGCCCGGCTCCCCTCAGCTCACGCGTCGCGCGAACGAAGACGAGAACATCAGACATAGAGAAGCAGAGATAGAAGAGAGAGAAAAACTACAGATACAGACAGAGAGATGAGACAAGAGAAGATAGAGAGAGAGGTTATAGATAGTTTTCAAATTACTGAAACATAACCCGGCATGAGAACAGATAGAGAACAGAGAGAGCAAGAGATGAGGTTAGAGTATAGTTTCATACTAACACATTCGCCTCCCTTCATAGAGAACATAGAGAGAAGAGAGAGGTGTTAGAGATAGTTTTCATTCAAATACTTAACCACATAACCCTGCAAGAGATGAACATAGAGAGAAACAGAGAGGAAAGAAGAGAGGGTTTAGAGATAGTTTTTCCATTTTCAAATACTGTACACCCTTCCCTGCAAGAGAGAACAGAAGAGAAGACGAGAGAGAGAGGGTTAGAGATAGTTTCATACTGAACACATAACCCTGCAGTGATAACAGAGGATAGAAAAGATAAGAAGAAGGGTTAGAGATATTTTTTTCATACTGAACAACATACCCGGCCGAGAGAAAACATAGAGAGAAAAGAGATATGGTTTAGAGATAGTTTTCATACTGAACGACATACCTGCTAGATACATAGAGATGAAGAGTGACGCGGGTTTAGCGAGAGTGTTTAGACAGAGAACGATGGTTAGAGAGAGAGGGTTAGAGCGGATGCGAGCCGGTGTTCGCTAGAGCGGTGCCGCTCGCGAGCTCGAGAGCGAGTGTTCATCTCTATCGGGTTAGCATAGCGACTCGTGGGCGCGCGCGAGGGTGCCGCGCGCAGCGCCGCTCAGGTTTTGCGCTCGATCTCTCGCAGTCGGGTTTCTCGCCTAAGCGCCCCGGCCCAGCCTTTTCCGCGTCGGTTTTTCGAGCTCCGCGGGTTCGCTCTCTCGGTTCTCGCGCCGGGTTTCGCCTCCGGGTTCGCGCCCTCTGGGCTTATCGCTCGCTCGCGGGTTCGCGCGCGCGCCCCGGCGCGCGCATCGCGCGGCGCTCGCGCCCGCTCCCGCGCGGGTTCGCGCCTGCGGCGTTACGCTGCTGCGAGGGTTCGCGCGTCTCCGTGTTCTCAGCGCTCGCCCCCGCCGCTCGACGCGCGACTGCCCCGCGCGCGCGGTGTTCGCGCGGCATGTTTCGCGCGCCTCCGCGCGCCGCCCGCGCGCGCGGTTGCTCGCGCGCCGGAGTTTCTCCTCTGCCCCGCAGCGCGCGGTTCGGCTCGGCGCGGGTTCGCGCTCGCCGGTTCGCCGCTCGCGCCCGCTAGCAGCGCGCGGGTTCCGCGCGCGCTCGCGCGCTGGTTCGCGCGCGCGCGCGCTGCGCGCGGTTTCTCGCAGCGCCAGCGGGTTTCGCGCGCGGGGTTCGCTCCGCGGGTTTGCGCCGCGGGTTCGCTCGCCGCGGTCGCGCGCGTCGGGTTTCGCTCGCGCGCGGGTTGCGACGCGCGGGTTTCGCCTCGCGCGCCGCGCGCGGGTTCGCGCGCGCGGGTTCTACGCGCGCCGGGTTTGCGCTCGCGGGTTCGCGCGCGCGGGTTCGCAGCGCGCGGGTTCGCGCGCGCGTGTTTTCGCGCGCGCGCGCGCTCCGCGCCGCGCGCGCTCGCAGCGCGGCGCTCGCGCGCGCGCGCGCGCGTGTTTCGCGCGCTCGGGTTCGCGCGCGCGGGTTCGCGCGCGCGGGTTCGCGCGCGCGGGTTCGCCGAGCGGGTTCGCCGCGCGGTTTCGCGCGCTCGGTGCGCGCGCGCTCGCGCGCGCGGGTCTCGCGCGCGCGCCGCCGGCTGCGGGTTCGCGGCGCGCCGGTTCCGCGCCGCCGGGCTTCGCTCGCGCGGGTTCGCGCGCGCTGTTTCGCTCCGCGCTGGTTCGCGCGCGCTGGTTCGCGCGCGCGGTTCAGCGCGCGCGTTTCGCGCGCCGGGTTCGGCGACGCGGGTATCGCGCGCGCGGTTTCCTCGCGCGGTTCGCGCTCGTTCCCTCCTGCACCCCCCTTCCGTTTTCCCCCCTCCCCCCTCTCCCTCCACACAGCCAGCGTCCCCCTCCCCACGACCCTCTCTCTCTCATCTCTTACCCTGCATCGATCTCTATGTCCTCCTCGTCCAGGGGCAGCTGGAGGTAGGGGTTTTGGAAAGCATGGGCGGAACTATATCAAAAGCACCCCGTCCACCAAAGAAGATTCAATTACGACACCTCCCTAGGAACTATAGATGGGGGGGGTGTGGTGGGGGGGTGGTTTAGGAAGATCAGTTGGATACCGCAGGGCAAATACATACATATTTTAGACAATCTCTAAAAACATGAAGAAATGGCTCTAATCAGTGTCAGCGGTTCAACCGTTTTGACCTCCATCAGAATTTGACGGTGATGGGTGTATCACCTCGTAAACTCCCACTGCATTTGGAAAATGCCAACCGTCACCTCAGCAGATGCTATGATCCTCGTGAAGTAGAATATAACTACTATCTACAGAATGGATGATGGGATGGTGGATGGAGATAGGGAGAGGGGAGGGAGGTGATTGAGAGGCGATCTTTCGGAGGGAAGACTGGATGCGGGCGATAGGGAGTGCGGTATGCAGGGATATATGTATCGCTTGTGAGGGGATCGGAGATCGGGCTGGAGGTGCTCTCGGATTTGGGTAGATCGTTAGCGAGGATGTTAAGAGATTTCTCCCGCTGTTCTCTATTTTTCTCCTCTTTCTTTCGTTCTTTCGTCTTTCCCGTTCTGCGTTCTGTTGTTTAGTCTTTTCCTTTCCTGTTCTCTTAGTCTCTTTCCTTCCCCCCCCCCCCGCCACCTCTAGATATCTCCACCACACCGACCCCACCGCCTCCCTTGTCTCGTTTTCTTGCGCTCTCCCCTGTCTGTTCTTGTTCTCATTCGCCCTCGCTACGTGCTTTCTTTCCCGCTGTCTGCTCTCTTTCTAGGGTCTCTGTCCAACTCGCACCGGGTTCTTTTTCCTGTCTGTCCTCATCTTCTTGACTCTCTTTTCCTCCCTCTTCCGCCTACTTTCGCTCTTATGTCCCCGACCCCGACACCCCTACACCCCTGCCTTGCTCCCTTACGCAACGCCCACATCTAACACTAGGGGCATCGCGTTCCGCCGGCAACAGCGATTAATGATATACAAGACAGAGTCTCCTCAACACATACCATTACGTCTTAAATTTCTTTAACATCTTTAGTTTCTCTTCTTCCAGTTCATGGCAGCTGAGGAACCAAGATAGACATTATTAGACTCCGAAAACAATACAGGGGAAACACAGCACCCAACTACAAGGTTCAAAACACTCCTATCCTTTACTAGCTAACATTATTAACCACTGGCTAACTGTCCATGAACTGATAATCCCTCCCTTAGAATGGCTCACCTTTCCCATCAGTGCTGAGCCTCTTGCAGGTGAACATAGACCTGCAAACACACAACCCACACACAACACACACACCACACACTACACACACACAACACCAGACGAACCACACACACACAGTTTTACCGCTGAATGATCCTCTTAATAACGTACAGGCACGTAGACCCGTTCGTCAAGTTGCTAATGAAAAGTCTTCTAAAACGGTTCAAATGTAGTGCGGCTAACAGGGAGGGAGAAAATCAACCCTTCTCAACCCAACAGTTAATTTTGCCCTTCCCGTTGATGACTGCCACAAGGGCAGTGATTGTTCGAAATAATAAGGTTTGAATGTTCTAAGTCGCTGTTCGATGGGAAAGCTATAACGACACATAAGCATTTGAATCAAAATCAAGAACAAACAACCCATTTAGACATGTTACATCAACCAGCAACAATTTTGGGCCTCCTACTTCCACGGTCGGCTTTGGATAAAATCGTCTCTAAATTGCATCTTATTATTAATAAGTCAATACTCCACCGCTTGACATACAACCACTCCTGTTTGAGGAGAGGTCTGACTTCCGCCACGGCCTTTTAAAATTAGAACCGGGCATCCGTCCTCAACCCCATGGCTGCGCCCGTTTTTTCAAACCTAATGCACTTCCTTTTAACGGTTTACTTTGCAAAACCCTAAACACGGATCCCCAAGCGTGCCTAACTATCCCAACTAACATTAAACCCATACTACTCCGTGCCTATCAGACTCTGCAAAGAAAAGAAAGATCCTCCACAACATGAGGTCAACTATGAACAACATCTCCTACTTAACAAGTTACTACTGACGCATACACCAGGGAAGAGGGATTCCTCCACAGCATTAGGTTGTGAGGCTCTACTAGGAACAACAATCTCCTACTAACATTATACTTGACCATGACAACAGGTATAGTAACGCTCCCACAGCAGGATGATGTCAACTAGGAAACAACATCTTCACAACATATACTGCCCGATTCCACAGGGAATAAATGGATTCCGCCATCATGACCCTCTTATTTTTCAACCTTATTAACAAACAATCTCTACTACAGTATACTGACCATACACACGGGAAATGGATTCTCCGCTCATATGAGGTCAACAGGGAACAACAACATCTCCTGCTAACGTTACTACCTACTACAGTTAAGATTATGCCTCCACAAACAGATTAGTTCAACTATTGAACAACAATCTCCTACTACAGTAATACTGACGCTTAACAAGCAGGATAGGAAATCTCCACCCAAGCAGATGATGGTCAACTAGAACAACTCTCCTCTAACTAGTAGAACTGACCATACAACAGGAAGGACCTCTCCACCGTCAGATGAGGTCAACTGCAACAACATCTCCTATAACGGTTATACTGACCATTAACAACAGGGAGATAGTAAATCTCCACAACTCCGAACATTAGTTCAACTATGAACCACATCTCCTACTCAACCATTATACTGACCATACACATGGAAGCGAGGATGCCTCACAACAGAGTGAGGTCAACCTAGTAACAAACATCTCCTACTAAAGTAAAACTGACCATCACAGGGAAGGAGGAACGCTCCACAGCAGAAATGGTGTCAACTAGGAACAACAGTCTCCACTAACATTATTAACTGACCATAAACCGGAAGAGGAAGCCTCCAAAGCATATGGGTTCAACTAGGAACACAAATCTCCTATAACAAGTACTATGACCCTAAACAACAGGGGAATCAGGATGTCCTCCGACAACATATTAGGTCAACATGAACAACATCTCTCTACTAACATTATACACCTGACCAGACAACAGGGACGAGGAAAGCTCCACAGTCAAGATGAGTCACTAGAACAACATCCTCTACTAACCGTATAACTGAACCATACAACAGGGAAATGAATTTCCACATAACAGAATTTGTCAACTAGAACAACCTCTCCTACTAACAATTATACGGTACCATACAACAGGTAAGATTGATAGCTCCACCTCATTCATGATTAGGTCAACCGGTCACATACCTCCTTCCACAGGGGCCATACTTGGGAGGGGGGGGGGGTTTGGGGGGGAAAAAAGGGAGGGAGAGAGGGAGGGGGAAAAAAGGGGAGGGGGGAGAGGGGAAAAAGGAGAGAGGGGGGGAGAGGGAGGAGGGAGGGGGGAAAGGGGGGGGGGGGAATGGGGGGGAGGGGGGGAAAGGGGGGGGGGGGAAGGGGGAGGGGGAGGGAGGAGGGAGGGAGGGGGGGAGGGGGGGAGGAGGGGGGGAGGGGGGGGGGGGAGGGGGGGAAGGGATGGTGGAGGGGGGAAAGGGGAGGAGATAGGGAGGGAGAGAGAGGGAGGGATGAGGGAGAGAGTAGGAGAGATTATCCATCCTGACATCTTTCAGAATTTACACAGAAAAATAAGTTAGAATTCAAAATATCAGCGAGGAAGAGAGACAGAGTCTCCTCACCATGACGTAGTAATGTCTGAACAGCTTGAGTTTCTCCAGGTTCATGGCAGCTGAGGGAAACAGAGAGACAGTATTACTACAGAAAACTACAGGGGAACACAGCACCAACTACAAGGTTCAAAACACTCAACTATACTTTACTAAGCTACAGTTATTAACCACTGCTAACTGTCCATGAACTGTATCCCTCCCTGTAGATGGCTCACCTTTCCCATCAGTGCTGGAAGCCTCTTGCAGGTGACGAATAGACCTGCAAACACACACACACACACACACACACACACACACACACACACACACACACACACACACACACATTATCCTCTGATGGCTCGTCAGGGAGGGAGAAGCACCCTTCTCAAACCCAACAGTAATTTGCCCTTCCCGGTTATACTGCCAACAAGGCAGATGCATTGTTCAGAAATTAATGTTTGAATGTTCTAAGTAGCTGTCGATGGGAAAGCAGATAAAACACATAAGCATTTGAATCAAGAACAAACAACAATTTGACATGTTACAGTGTGAATCCTAAGTCAAGTCGCTTTGGATAAAAGCGTCTGCTAAATGGCATATTATTATTATAAGTCAATACTCCACCTGCTTGACATACACCACTCTGTTTGAGTCGACTCCGCCATCGGCTTTAAACAGGGCATCCGGCTCACACCCAGGAGGCAGCCCGGTTTCAAAACTAATGCAATTCATTTTAACGGTGCAAACTCCACAGCCAGCTGAAACTAACATTAAACCCTAATACTAACCATATAACAGGCAAAGAGGATGCCTCCACAACAGATGAGGTCAACTAGGAACAACATCTCCTACTAACAGTATACTGACCATACAACAGGGAAGAGGATGCCTCCACAGCAGATGAGGTCAACTAGGAACAACATCTCCTACTAACAGTATACTGGACCATACAACAGGGAAGAGGGAACGCTCTCCACAGCAGTGAGGTCAACTAGGAACAACATCTTCTACTAACAGTATACTGACCATACAACAGGGAAGAGGATGCCTCCACAACAGATGAGGTCAACTAGGAACAACATCTCATACTAACAGTATACTGACCATACAACAGGGAAGAGGATGCCTCCACAACAGATGAGGTCAACTAGGAACAACATCTCCTACTAACAGTATACTGACCATACAACAGGGAAGAGGATGCCTCCACAACAGATGAGGTCAACTAGGAACAACATCTCCTACTAACCAGTATACTGACCATACAACAGGGGAAGAGGAAAGCTCCACAGGCAGATGAGGTCAACTAGGAACAACATCTCCTACTAACAGTATAACTGACCATACAACAGGGAAGAGGAACGCTCCACAGCAGGATGAGGTCAACTAGGAACAACATCTCCTACTAACAGTATACTGACCATACAACAGGGAAGAGGAAAGCTCCACAGCAGATGAGGTCAACTAGGAACAACATCTCCTACTAACAGTATACTGACCATACAACAGGGAAGAGGATGCCTCCACAACAGATGAGGTCAACTAGGAACAACATCTCCTACTAACAGTATACTGACCATACAACAGGGAAGAGGAACGCTCCACAGCAGATGAGGTCAACTAGGAACAACATCTCCTACTAACAGTATACTGACCATACAACAGGGAAGAGGAAAGCTCCACAGCAGATGAGGTCAACTAGGAACAACATCTCCTACTAACAGTATACTGACCATACAACAGGGAAGAGGATGCCTCCACAACAGATGAGGTCAACTAGGAACAACATCTCCTACTAACAGTATACTGACCATACAACAGGGAAGAGGAAAGCTCCACAGCAGATGAGGTCAACTAGGAACAACATCTCCTACTAACAGTATACTGACCATACAACAGGGAAGAGGATGCCTCCACAACAGATGAGGTCAACTAGGAACAACATCTCCTACTAACAGTATACTGACCATACAACAGGGAAGAGGATAGCTCCACAGCAGATGAGGTCAACCAGGAACAGAACCTCCTTCCACAGGGCATACTCACTAGAGCCCTCCTCTGTAGACTCTATTATGATGTAGGCTATGTTGGCCAGAACCTAGGAGAGGAAGGAGAGATTTAGAGAGAGGAGGGGGGGAGGGGGGAGATTCAGAGAGTCAAAACTGTTGGAAGTTTGCCAGAGATTTAGAAGAATACATCACTAAATGTATCTTAGTCAGATCGTTGGTTAATGAGTATACTTGTAGAGGGAGGACAAAGCAACCCCCCCAGGTGTACCTGTAGAGGGAGGACGATCATGAAGATTTTCTTCTCCTTGTCTGACAGGATGTATTTAACGAAGGCCCAGCCAGTACCAATCAACGCCAGAGTGATGAACAGCAGAGCTCCCTTCAACCTGCACACAACACACACACGTTATATTACACACAACACACACACACGTTATATTACACACAACACACACACACACACACACGTAACAGACAAAACACACACACACATAACAGACAAAACATACACATCCATTCTGTTTTACTCATTTCATATGTATATACTGTATTCTACTGTATTCTAGTCAATGCCACTCAGACATTGCTCGTCCTAATATTTATATATTTCTTAATTCCATTCTTTTACTTTTAGATGTGTGTATTGTTGTGAATTGTTAGCTACTACTGCACTGTTGGAGCTAGGAACACATGTGATATTACATATACACGTATGAAACACACACACACTCATCCATCCATATTATACACACACACAGATGCATGGGCACAACTTTGGTTTTTAGAGAGAGTCAGTATTATTAGATGTTTATCCAGTTGGATAAAAACACTCCAAAACAGCCAACCCGACCGCGTGGAGGCGTCCGCATGGTCCTAAAGCACACCGTTGCCTCGTTTTGTATCACATTCCAATTATAAAACTGTGGGGGGGGGGGGGGGCAAAAACGGCATTTCAGAATATGTGTGTGTGTGTGTGGGGGGGGGGGGGGGGACATGTCCCCAGTGAAAGTTGCGTCCCTACACAGATGTATCATTCACACACACACACCAGAAATGTGACCAGAGTGAAACAGAAGCCAGACTCACAGGTGAGTGATGTAGTACATGACAGCCCAGCCTTCGATGGGGTGTCCCTCTGTGTTGATGAAGTGGTAGTTGATCTGACAGAGAGAGAAACAGCAACATTCTATAGGATATTACATCATAGGCCCTAGTCATTTAGTGGGGTTGGTTAGGTGGAGGATGTATGTGGAGTTATTTGGGTTTCTCTGTGTGTGTTTCTCTGTCTCTGTGTGTGTGTGTGTGTGTGTGGAGGTCAGTATCTGTGTGTGTCTACATGTGTGTCCACGTGTGTGTGTGTTGTACTCACGCTGTGGAAGACCAGGGAGATTGACTTGGTGAAGGCCAGAGCTGCCATCAGCCAGTGGATCTTAAACACACTGTACCTACAGAGAGAGAGAGGAGAGGGAGAGAGGACAAGAGAGAGGAGAGGGAGAGGGAGAGAGGACAAGAGAGAGGAGAGAGAGAGAGGAGAGGGAGAGAGGACAAGAGAGAGAGAGGAGAGGGAGAGAGGACAAGAGAGAGAGGAGAGGGAGAGAGGACAAGAGAGAGAGGAGAGGGAGAGAGGACAAGAGAGAGAGGAGAGGGAGAGAGGACAAGAGAGAGAGGAGAGGGAGAGAGGACAAGAGAGAGAGAGGACAAGAGAGAGAGAGGACAAGAGAGGGGAGAGGATAGCAGAGGAGGAGGAGAAGAGGGTTATTAACTGCTACTGTGTGTGCCCATGTGTACCTGGTGCTTCATCAGTGTGTAGACCCAGAACATGGCTGGTACAGGGTGTGTGTGTGTCAGGGTTTCCGTTAGCTGGTATTTGATGGCTTTTGTCCGATCAAATAAAATTGTAGCCGGCCAAACACACTGTACCAGGGCTGCCTGTCATACACCCTTCAGCACCACCCTCTTCTCTCACTGCCGTGATCGAGAGAGAGAGAAAAGGAGAAAGAGAGAGAAAAGGAGAAAGAGAGAGAAAAGGAGAGAGAGAGAGAGAGAGAGAGAGAGAGAGAGAGAGAGAGAGAGAGAGAGAGAGAGAGAGAGAGAGAGAGAGAGAGAGAGAGAGAGAGAGAGAGAGAGAGACCGCCGTGGCTACTGTTGATTGTCAAGATGGAGGCCTCTTTCGTTGCAGTTCAATGAAGAGTAGAGAGTAGGCCTATAGGGAAAAGCCAACAAGGGGAATGTCCTCCATACGGACAAGCTTACCGTGCAACTCGCTATTCAGGTAGGATGCAATTTTGAAACTTTAATGCATTTATTTTTTCATATTTAGAATTTGTTTTATCATTAGTGTTACTGTATATCATTGATGTTATTGTGGCCTATTGATTATATATTTATTATTATTTATGTTGTAAAATAAACATCATTAGCCTATTGCTGTCATTTGTTGGGTACGGTAGGCACTAGCCTTTCTTGGTAATTGCTACAATACAGCCTGTTCCAAACTTCTGTGACGGTTTCATTCTGTTTTGCTTCATTCTGTTGAGCCATTTTCTTTGGCCAAATTAAGTCGTGTTTGCCGCAATATAATATCCTGTTTGTATTTTCCCTATAAAAACAACGGCTTGACCTTTGACATGACCCTAATAAAGTTGCCAACTTCTGTAAAGGTTGGGTGTGGCTATTCTCCTATGATCATGCAGGCCTGTGATATGAAGGCAGTACGCAGCAGCGCTCCAACTGACTGACTGTCCAACTTGAGGTTAGGAAGAGAGTTACTCCTATAATTTAAGAATATAATGCTCATGTTTATAAAAAATATATATATATTCTGATCGAAGATGAACGAATTAGCCTTCTCCTGTATGCCTATATGTAATAATACATCAAAATATATTTTAAAAAAAATGTATGGGTGGTTATATTTGTCTGTTAATTGTGGCCGTTTCTTGTCCAAGTGTGTAATGGAAATGTGTTACTTATCCCGACTCCCCCCTGAGACACCCGCAGGGAGTGGGGTCACTGCAAGGGACACCATTGTCCAGCACCCCTGGAGCAATTGGGGATAAGTGCCTTGCTCAAGGGCACAGCGACAGATTTTTGTTTACCTTGTCGGCTCCAGGAACCAAACGAGCAACCTTTCGGTAACTGGGCCAAAACGTTCTAACCTCCAAGCTACCCCCCATCCCGTTTAGCAGAGAAGGATGAATAAACACATGTTGGTGTCGTAGCAGAGAAGGATGAATAAACACATGTTGGTGTCGTAGCAGAGAAGGATGAATAAACGCATGTTGGTGTCGTAGCAGAGAAGGATGAATAAACGCATGTTGGTGTCGTAGCAGAGAAGGATGAATAAACGCATGTTGGTGTCGTAGCAGAGAAGGATGAATAAACGCATGTTGGTGTCGTAGCAGAGAAGGATGAATAAACGCATGTTGGTGTCGTAGCAGAGAAGGATGAATAAACACATGTTGGTGTCGTAGCAGAGAAGGATGAATAAACACATGTTGGTGTCGTAGCAGAGAAGGATGAATAAACACATGTTGGTGTCGTAGCAGAGAAGGATGAATAAACACATGTTGGTGTCGTAGCAGAGAAGGATGAATAAACACATGTTGGTGTCGTAGCATCTCTCTCTCTCTCTCTCCGGGGCAAGGCCTAAGCTTCTCTTCCTTTAGATACATTTATTATAAGTCCCCGAGTGGCGCAGTGGTCTAAGGCAATGCAGCGCAGTGCTAGCTGTGCCACTAGAGATCCTGGTTCGAATCCAGGCTCTGTCGTAGCCGGCCGCGACCGGGAGACCCATGGGGCGGCGCACAATTGGCCCAGCGTCGTCCAGGGTAGGGGAGGGAATGGTAGAGCATGGCGTTTGCAACGCCTGGGTTGTGGGTTTGATTCCCACGGGGACCAGTATAAAAAAATAAAAAATAATGTATGCACTCACTAACTGTAAGTCGCTCTGGATAAGAGTGTCTGCTAAATGACTGAAATGTAAATGTAATAAATATCATACATCCTATAGGCATATACATGTAATGCCCTGAAGCATTTAGTGCTCAAATCTCTGACAGCTGAACCATGAAGTGGACAATTATTGTTTTAGGAAAGCCTAAAAAACAAACAAACAAAGCTATAACGTTTAGCCAATGCTACACATCGAAACACAAGGTCTTTCTGTAATTGGTTCCAGGCTGTTTTTAAAGGCATGTAAATGTGGCCAACATCCCTGGTTTGTTGCTGGTGCTGGATGCGTGGCTGGACACCCTAATGGTTTACGGCACCCCCCCAATGCAATATGGATGTCCGATAAACGTACATCTTCCCGGTCACTTGTCCGGCGCCAGGTTTTCCTATTAGAAACCCTGGTGTGGGTACCTGTGCTTCAGCAGTGTGTAGACCCAGACCATGGCTATAATGAAGAAGACTCCAGCCATGAAGATGTAGAGATGGGGGAGAGGGATCTCTGCTGCTGACAGGTAACCTCCTGGGTTCTTCTCCGTCACCTCCACCTGGACACGGACACACACGTCATCATATTACACAAAGAAGTCAGAACACAATATATATAACACACACAGACACACAAATCACACACAAGGTAACGCAGTACACCACTCACGTTGAGATTGAAGGGGTGGTTGATGCCTGGCAGAATGTTGTCACAGTAGTGGAAGTTGAGGTTGTACAGGCCCTCATCCAACTGGCCAATCACCATGTGGAACTGTGGAGAGGGAGGGGCCCCGGTCATAAACACACAGCAGTTTGAAGGTTGAACAATGTTGTGTAGAAGACTAAAAGCTGTGGAAAGGTTGGAGAATTATTTGAGAATGTCTGTAAAAAGGTTGTTTTAAGGTTGTCGATTGAAGGTATTTAAACGTTGTATAAAGGTTGTGTGAAGGTTAGTGGACTCACGCTGAAGCTGTACGAGCCGTTGATTTTCTGCACATCCAGAATCAGCCCGTTGATCCGCCCCACCTGGAGAAACATAGATGTTAAACACACAGAGACACACACACACACACAGAGACACAGACACACACAGAGAGAGACACAGACACACACACAGAGAGACACACACAGAGAGACACAGAGACACACAGAGACACACCTGGTTGGTAGGTTTTTTAGTCTCCATTTTGCTCAACTCTGCCTTTCCTTCTTCCTCCTCCTTGGGTTCTGGCTTCTCTTCCTCCTTCTTCCCCTCTTGCATCACTCCATCTTTCTTTTCCTCCTTCCCCTCTTGCATCACTCCATCTTTCTTTTCCTCCTTCCCCTCTTTCATCACTCCATCTTTCTTTTCCTCCTTCCCCTCTTGCATCACTCCATCTTTATTTTCCTCCTTCCCCTCTTTCATCACTCCATCTTTCTTTTCTTCCTCCACTTTCTTTACATCTTTCTTCTGTTCTTTCACCTTCACGTCCTCAGGGGCCTCTACCGCTCTTCTTCTCCTGGAACCTGAACACACAGCCAATCAGAAGACAGCACATAATGATAATGATGCAACGTGAATCCTGTGTAGCTCAGTTGGTAGAGCATGGCGTTTGCAACGCCAGGGTTGTGGGTTCATTTCCCACGGGGGGCCAGTATGAAAAAATATAAAAATAAAATACAATGTATGCACTCACCAACTGTAAGTCGCTCTGGATAAGAGCGTCTGCTAAATGACTAAAATGTCTAAAACGTGAATAAACTCAAACCTTGATAATCTTTAGTCAGGTTATATAACGACAACACTACTCTTTAGTCAGGTTATATAACGACAACACTACTCTTTAGTCAGGTTATATAACGACAACACTACTCTTTAGTCAGGTTATATAACGACAACACTACTCTTTAGTCAGGTTATATAACGACAACACTACTCTTTAGTCAGCTTATATAACGACAACACTACTCTTTAGTCAGCTTATATAACGACAACACTACTCTTTAGTCAGCTTATATAACGACAACACTACTCTTTAGTCAGCTTATATAACGACAACACTACTCTTTAGTCAGCTTATATAACGACAACACTACTCTTTAGTCAGCTTATATAACGACAACACTACTCTTTAGTCAGGTTATATAACGACAACACTACTCTTTAGTCAGGTTATATAACGACAACACTACTCTTTAGTCAGGTTATATAACGACAACACTACTCTTTAGTCAGGTTATATAACGACAACACTACTCTTTAGTCAGGTTATATAACGACAACACTACTCTTTAGTCAGGTTATATAACGACAACACTACTCTTTAGTCAGGTTATATAACGACAACACTACTCTTTAGTCAGCTTATATAACGACAACACTACTCTTTAGTCAGCTTATATAACGACAACACTACTCTTTAGTCAGCTTATATAACGACAACACTACTCTTTAGTCAGCTTATATAACGACAACACTACTCTTTAGTCAGCTTATATAATGACAACACTACTCTTTAGTCAGGTTATATAACGACAACACTACTCTTTAGTCAGGTTATATAACGACAACACTACTCTTTAGTCAGGTTATATAACGACAACACTACTCTTTAGTCAGGTTATATAACGACAACACTACTCTTTAGTCAGGTTATATAACGACAACACTACTCTTTAGTCAGGTTATATAACGACAACACTACTCTTTAGTCAGGTTATATAACGACAACACTACTCTTTAGTCAGGTTATATAACGACAACACTACTCTTTAGTCAGGTTATATAATAGACAACACTACTCTTTAGTCAGGTTATATAACGACAACACTACTCTTTAGTCAGGTTATATAACGACAACACTACTCTTTAGTCAGCTTATATAACGACAACACTACTCTTTAGTCAGCTTATATAACGACAACACTACTCTTTAGTCAGCTTATATAACGACAACACTACTCTTTAGTCAGGTTATATAACGACAACACTACTCTTTAGTCAGGTTATATAATATACAACACTACTCTTTAGTCAGGTTATATAATAGACAACACTACTCTTTAGTCAGGTTATATAACGACAACACAACTCTTTAGTCAGGTTATATAATAGACAACACAACTCTTTAGTCAGGTTATATAATAGACAACACTACTCTTTAGTCAGGTTATATAACGACAACACTACTCTTTAGTCAGGTTATATAACGACAACACTACTCTTTAGTCAGGTTATATAACGACAACACTACTCTTTAGTCAGGTTATATAACGACAACACTACTCTTTAGTCAGGTTATATAACGACAACACTACTCTTTAGTCAGGTTATATAACGACAACACTACTCTTTAGTCAGGTTATATAACGACAACACTACTCTTTAGTCAGGTTATATAACGACAACACTACTCTTTAGTCAGGTTATATAACGACAACACTACTCTTTAGTCAGGTTATATAACGACAACACTACTCTTTAGTCAGGTTATATAACGACAACACTACTCTTTAGTCAGCTTATATAACGACAACACTACTCTTTAGTCAGCTTATATAACGACAACACTACTCTTTAGTCAGCTTATATAACGACAACACTACTCTTTAGTCAGCTTATATAACGACAACACTATCTTTAGTCAGCTTATATAACGACAACACTACTCTTTAGTCAGCTTATATAACGACAACACTACTCTTTAGTCAGTTTATATAACGACAAACACTACTCTTTAGTCCAGGTTATATAACGACAACACTACTCTTTAGTCAGGTTATATAACGACAACACTACTCTTTAGTCAGGTTATATAACGACAACACTACTCTTTAGTCAGGTTATATAACGACAACACTACTCTTTAGTCAGGTTATATAACGACAACACTACTCTTTAGTCAGGTTATATAACGACAACACTACTCTTTAGTCAGGTTATATAACGACAACACTACTCTTTAGTCAGGTTATATAACGACAACACTACTCTTTAGTCAGGTTATATAACGACAACACTACTCTTTAGTCAGGTTATATAACGACAACACTACTCTTTAGTCAGGTTATATAACGACAACACTACTCTTTAGTCAGGTTATATAACGACAACACTACTCTTTAGTCAGGTTATATAACGACAACAATACTCTTTAGTCAGGTTATATAACGACAACACTACTCTTTAGTCAGGTTATATAACGACAACACTACTCTTTAGTCAGGTTATATAACGACAACACTACTCTTTAGTCAGGTTATATAACGACAACACTACTCTTTAGTCAGGTTATATAACGACAACACTACTCTTTAGTCAGGTTATATAACGACAACACTACTCTTTAGTCAGGTTATATAACGACAACACTACTCTTTAGTCAGGTTATATAACGACAACACTACTCTTTAGTCAGGTTATATAACGACAACACTACTCTTTAGTCAGGTTATATAACGACAACACTACTCTTTAGTCAGGTTATATAACGACAACACTACTCTTTAGTCAGGTTATATAACGACAACACTACTCTTTAGTCAGGTTATATAACGACAACACTACTCTTTAGTCAGGTTATATAACGACAACACTACTCTTTAGTCAGGTTATATAACGACAACACTACTCTTTAGTCAGGTTATATAACGACAACACTACTCTTTAGTCAGGTTATATAACGACAACACTACTCTTTAGTCAGCTTATATAACGACAACACTACTCTTTAGTCAGCTTATATAACGACAACACTACTCTTTAGTCAGCTTATATAACGACAACACTACTCTTTAGTCAGCTTATATAACGACAACACTACTCTTTAGTCAGCTTATATAACGACAACACTACTCTTTAGTCAGCTTATATAACGACAACACTACTCTTTAGTCAGTTTATATAACGACAACACTACTCTTTAGTCAGGTTATATAACGACAACACTACTCTTTAGTCAGGTTATATAACGACAACACTACTCTTTAGTCAGGTTATATAACGACAACACTACTCTTTAGTCAGGTTATATAACGACAACACTACTCTTTAGTCAGGTTATATAACGACAACACTACTCTTTAGTCAGGTTATATAATAGACAACACTACTCTTTAGTCAGGTTATATAACGACAACACTACTCTTTAGTCAGGTTATATAATAGACAACACTACTCTTTAGTCAGGTTATATAACGACAACACTACTCTTTAGTCAGGTTATATAACGACAACACTACTCTTTAGTCAGCTTATATAATAGACAACACTACTCTTTAGTCAGGTTATATAACGACAACACTACTATTTAGTCAGGTTATATAACGACAACACTACTCTTTAGTCAGCTTATATAACGACAACACTACTCTTTAGTCAGGTTATATAATAGACAACACTACTCTTTAGTCAGGTTATATAACGACAACACTACTCTTTAGTCAGCTTATATAATAGACAACACTACTCTTTAGTCAGGTTATATAATAGACAACACTACTCTTTAGTCAGGTTATATAACGACAACACTACTCTTTAGTCAGGTTATATAATAGACAACACTACTCTTTAGTCAGGTTATATAACGACAACACTACTCTTTAGTTAGGTTATATAACGACAACACTACTCTTTAGTCAGCTTATATAATAGACAACACTACTCTTTAGTCAGGTTATATAACGACAACACTACTATTTAGTCAGGTTATATAACGACAACACTACTCTTTAGTCAGCTTATATAACGACAACACTACTCTTTAGTCAGGTTATATAATAGACAACACTACTCTTTAGTCAGGTTATATAACGACAACACTACTCTTTAGTCAGCTTATATAATAGACAACACTACTCTTTAGTCAGGTTATATAATAGACAACACTACTCTTTAGTCAGGTTATATAACGACAACACTACTCTTTAGTCAGGTTATATAATAGACAACACTACTCTTTAGTCAGGTTATATAACGACAACACTACTCTTTAGTCAGGTTATATAACGACAACACTACTCTTTAGTCAGGTTATATAACGACAACACTACTCTTTAGTCAGCTTATATAACGACAACACTACTCTTTAGTCAGCTTATATAACGACAACACTACTCTTTAGTCAGGTTATATAACGACAACACTACTCTTTAGTCAGGTTATATAATATACAACACTACTCTTTAGTCAGGTTATATAACGACAACACTACTCTTTAGTCAGGTTATATAATAGACAACACTACTCTTTAGTCAGGTTATATAACGACAACACAACTCTTTAGTCAGGTTATATAATAGACAACACTACTCTTTAGTCAGGTTATATAACGACAACACTACTCTTTAGTCAGGTTATATAATAGACAACACTACTCTTTAGTCAGGTTATATAACGACAACACTACTCTTTAGTCAGGTTATATAACGACAACACTACTCTTTAGTCAGGTTATATAACGACAACACTACTCTTTAGTCAGGTTATATAACGACAACACTACTCTTTAGTCAGGTTATATAACGACAACACTACTCTTTAGTCAGGTTATATAACGACAACACTACTCTTTAGTCAGGTTATATAACGACAACACTACTCTTTAGTCAGGTTATATAACGACAACACTACTCTTTAGTCAGGTTATATAACGACAACACTACTCTTTAGTCAGCTTATATAACGACAACACTACTCTTTAGTCAGCTTATATAACGACAACAGTACTCTTTAGTCAGCTTATATAACGACAACACTACTCTTTAGTCAGCTTATATAACGACAACACTACTCTTTAGTCAGCTTATATAACGACAACACTACTCTTTAGTCAGTTTATATAACGACAACACTACTCTTTAGCCAGGTTATATAACGACAACACTACTCTTTAGTCAGGTTATATAACGACAACACTACTCTTTAGTCAGGTTATATAACGACAACACTACTCTTTAGTCAGGTTATATAACGACAACACTACTCTTTAGTCAGGTTATATAACGACAACACTACTCTTTAGTCAGGTTATATAATAGACAACACTACTCTTTAGTCAGGTTATATAACGACAACACTACTCTTTAGTCAGGTTATATAACGACAACACTACTCTTTAGTCAGGTTATATAACGACAACACTACTCTTTAGTCAGCTTATATAACGACAACACTACTCTTTAGTCAGGTTATATAACGACAACACTACTCTTTAGTCAGGTTATATAATATACAACACTACTCTTTAGTCAGGTTATATAACGACAACACTACTCTTTAGTCAGGTTATATAATAGACAACACTACTCTTTAGTCAGGTTATATAACGACAACACAACTCTTTAGTCAGGTTATATAATAGACAACACTACTCTTTAGTCAGGTTATATAACGACAACACTACTCTTTAGTCAGGTTTATAATAGACAACACTACTCTTTAGTCAGGTTATATAACGACAACACTACTCTTTAGTCAGGTTATATAACGACAACACTACTCTTTAGTCAGGTTATATAACGACAACACTACTCTTTAGTCAGGTTATATAACGACAACACTACTCTTTAGTCAGGTTATATAACGACAACACTACTCTTTAGTCAGGTTATATAACGACAACACTACTCTTTAGTCAGCTTATATAACGACAACACTACTCTTTAGTCAGCTTATATAACGACAACACTACTCTTTAGTCAGCTTATATAACGACAACACTACTCTTTAGTCAGCTTATATAACGACAACACTACTCTTTAGTCAGCTTATATAACGACAACACTACTCTTTAGTCAGCTTATATAACGACAACACTACTTTACTCTTTAGTCAGGTTATATAACGACAACACTACTCTTTAGTCAGGTTATATAACGACAACACTACTCTTTAGTCAGGTTATATAACGACAACACTACTCTTTAGTCAGGTTATATAACGACAACACTACTCTTTAGTCAGTTTATATAACGACAACACTACTCTTTAGTCAGGTTATATAACGACAACACTACTCTTTAGTCAGGTTATATAATAGACAACACTACTCTTTAGTCAGGTTATATAACGACAACACTACTCTTTAGTCAGGTTATATAACGACAACACTACTCTTTAGTCAGGTTATATAACGACAACACTACTCTTTAGTCAGCTTATATAACGTCAACACTACTCTTTAGTCAGGTTATATAACGACAACACTACTCTTTAGTCAGGTTATATAATATACAACACTACTCTTTAGTCAGGTTATATAACGACAACACTACTCTTTAGTCAGGTTATATAATAGACAACACTACTCTTTAGTCAGGTTTATATAACGACAACACAACTCTTTAGTCAGGTTATATAATAGACAACACTACTCTTTAGTCAGGTTATATAACGACAACACTACTCTTTAGTCAGGTTATATAATAGACAACACTACTCTTTAGTCAGGTTATATAACGACAACACTACTCTTTAGTCAGGTTATATAACGACAACACTACTCTTTAGTCAGGTTATATAACGACAACACTACTCTTTAGTCAGGTTATATAACGACAACACTACTCTTTAGTCAGGTTATATAACGACAACACTACTCTTTAGTCAGGTTATATAACGACAACACTACTCTTTAGTCAGCTTATATAACGACAACACTACTCTTTAGTCAGGTTATATAACGACAACACTACTCTTTAGTCAGCTTATATAACGACAACACTACTCTTTAGTCAGCTTATATAACGACAACACTACTCTTTAGTCAGCTTATATAACGACAACACTACTCTTTAGTCAGCTTATATAACGACAACACTACTCTTTAGTCAGCTTATATAACGACAACACTACTCTTTAGTCAGTTTATATAACGACAACACTACTCTTTAGTCAGGTTATATAACGACAACACTACTCTTTAGTCAGGTTATATAACGACAACACTACTCTTTAGTCAGGTTATATAACGACAACACTACTCTTTAGTCAGGTTATATAACGACAACACTACTCTTTAGTCAGGTTATATAACGACAACACTACTCTTTAGTCAGGTTATATAACGACAACACTCTTTAGTCGGTATATAACGACAACACTACTTTAGTCAGGTTATATAACGACAACACTACTCTTTAGTCAGGTTATATAATAGACAACACTACTCTTTAGTCAGGTTATATAACGACAACACTACTCTTTAGTCAGGTTATATAACGACAACACTACTCTTTAGTCAGGTTATATAACGACAACACTACTCTTTAGTCAGGTTATATAACGACAACACTACTCTTTAGTCAGGTTATATAATAGACAACACTACTCTTTAGTCAGGTTATATAATATACAACACTACTCTTTAGTCAGGTTATATAACGACAACACTACTCTTTAGTCAGGTTATATAATAGACAACACTACTCTTTAGTCAGGTTATATAACGACAACACAACTCTTTAGTCAGGTTATATAATAGACAACACTACTCTTTAGTCAGGTTATATAACGACAACACTACTCTTTAGTCAGGTTATATAATAGACAACACTACTCTTTAGTCAGGTTATATAACGACAACACTACTCTTTAGTTAGGTTATATAACGACAACACTACTCTTTAGTCAGCTTATATAATAGACAACACTACTCTTTAGTCAGGTTATATAACGACAACACTACTATTTAGTCAGGTTATATAACGACAACACTACTCTTTAGTCAGCTTATATAACGACAACACTACTCTTTAGTCAGGTTATATAATAGACAACACTACTCTTTAGTCAGGTTATATAACGACAACACTACTCTTTAGTCAGCTTATATAATAGACAACACTACTCTTTAGTCAGGTTATATAACGACAACACTACTCTTTAGTCAGGTTATATAACGACAACACTACTCTTTAGTCAGGTTATATAACGACAACACTACTCTTTAGTCAGGTTATATAACGACAACACTACTCTTTAGTCAGATTATATAACGACAACACTACTCTTTAGTCAGGTTATATAACGACAACACTACTCTTTAGTCAGGTTATATAACGACAACACTACTCTTTAGTCAGGTTATATAACGACAACACTACTCTTTAGTCAGATTATATAACGACAACACTACTCTTTAGTCAGGTTATATAACGACAACACTACTCTTTAGTCAGGTTATATAACGACAACACTACTCTTTAGTCAGCTTATATAATAGACAACACTACTCTTTAGTCAGGTTATATAACGACAACACTACTCTTTAGTAAGGAATTTTATAAGGGAAAAGATTTGTTTTGGGAATTTTCATAATACTTTCAATATCATTAATTTCCATGTTGGTTCTATTCCTGGAAATGCCCTTGTTCGGAGCAAAGGATCCCAATTTCAAACTCCCCAAAAAGTGTTTAGAATTCTATAAACTGGCAATAATGAATATTAACTGACAAAATATTGTGTGTAGTTTCTTGCAATAGCCCTCTGGGATTTTAAAGAATATTTCTATCAAAACTTTGATTCCTAAAAGAGGAACTCCCTCAGATTTGTCTAAAATCCTAAATGAATCAGGAATGAGCAGGGGCAGCTAAACCATAAGGACCCCTTTTTTATGTCCTCATTACATGTAGTGCAGCAAGACCACTCATGGTCTATAAAGTTCAGAATGTTCTGTACACTCAGTGTATATATTTCAAATTAATATTAAGACAAATATTTGTGGGGGGGGAAAAAGTTGAAATTGTCCCATCTTTCAAGTATCTCTGAGCTCTAAAACAGCAACATTTTCTCTCAGCCTCATGGCAAAATAGCATGAGATTAGCTATAAAACAACACATTTTTCTCTGCACCATGGCAACAACCCCCACCCCTCCAGAACTGCGCTACGCCACTGCTATCGTACTGCGTTGTATTGAAGGGAGGTGTCTAGTGCCGACCTGAGTCTTTATTGAGTGTCTTGTTTGTCTTCAGCTTGGTCAAGACGCTGTCCTGGTCTCCATAAGACTTCACATTGACTCTACAGGAGAGAGGAGGACACACAGTTCATGTATTCACTAGGCACAAAAACACAGCTGATTTGATCCCTCTCACCCACACAGACAGACAACCCTACCTGAGGTTGTTGGTGTCAATGAGGAAGAGGAAGAGGGGCTCATCGCTGTTTTGTTTGCTGAGTGGACACACCTCCGTTTCCTCCGCCTGGAGAACAAACATTACAACACAACCTTTATAAGCATTACCCTATCATAACCTTTTAGAAACATTACAACACAACCTTTATAAGCATAACCTTACCATAACCTTTTAGAAACATTACAACACAACCTTCTATAAGCATAACCTTACCATAACCTTTTAGAAACATTACAACAACATTCCATTAGGCCTATATGAATCCTACCTTTGAAGCACATCTCATGAACAGCAGATCCTTATCCTTTTCCTTTCTTCCTGGGCCAATCAGATGAGCCTAGACCTACTGTCAAGTTACCAGGTTGCTAGGTAACATGACTCAACAACCTTGTTTGTTATCAAAACAATAATAAGCGCCACGGGAAAAGTTTTTTTTTTTTTTTTTTTTACGGCTCGTGACATGGTTTGTGAAATTATATCAAAATGGCGCAGGAAGAAAAAAAGTTGCTCCTGTAATACGAATCATATTTTGAACCGTTTGATCTAGAGAAGCCGTTTTCTTTGCTGTAAAGCTGCATGACTGTTGCGGAGCGGTTTTTCCTCTCTGGGATCGATGCGAGGCAGCGAACTTGCAAAGCCTATCAGACTGGCGTGGCCTGTGCTCTTGGTTATACCAGGGATGAAACCATACACAACGTATCATCTTTGCTCGCTCTGCATACTGCTCCCATGTATCAGTGTTACAGCAGAAGACTGATCTGGGTCTGCATCCCCTCTTGCCATCATGGCTACATTATATTTAAAGAACTGATGGAGGAATAGATTACAGCTGATATTCACATGAAAGTGAAGTGGACATTGTTGGATCGGCACATAAGAGACTAAATGTGGTAGCATCATATGAAACGGTACTATGGTATTCTAAAATGTTGGTATCATAAGTATCATGATGTTTTGGTACCGTGATATTACCGTGGTACCGGTATACCGTGCAACACTACTACTGATAGTAAAACATAATGCATCACCTAGTATATCTACTGATAGTAAAACATAATGTATCACCTAGTATATCTACTGATAGTAAAACATAATGTATCACCTAGTATATCTACTGATAGTAAAACATAATGTATCACCTAGTATATCTACTGATAGTAAAACATAATGTATCACCTAGCATATCTACTGATAGTAAAACATAATGTATCACCTAGCATATCTACTGATAGTAAAACATAACGTATCACCTAGCATATCTACTGATAGTAAAACATAATGTATCACCTAGCATATCTACTGATAGTAAAACATAATGTATCATGCTCTATCTACTGATAGTAAAACATAACGTATCACCTAGCATATCTACTGATAGTAAAACATAATGTATCATGCTCTATCTACTGATAGTAAAACATAATGTATCACCTAGCATATCTACTGATAGTAAAACATAATGTATCACCTAGCATATCTACTGATAGTAAAACATAACGTATCACCTAGCATATCTACTGATAGTAAAACATAATGTATCATGCTCTATCTACTGATAGTAAAACAATGTATCACCTAGCATATCTACTGATAGTAAAACATAATGTATCACCTAGCATATCTACTGATAGTAAAACATAACGTATCACCTAGCATATCTACTGATAGTAAAACATAATGTATCATGCTCTATCTACTGATAGTAAAACATAATGTATCACCTAGCATATCTACTGATAGTAAAACATAATGTATCACCTAGCATATCTACTGATAGTAAAACATAACGTATCACCTAGCATATCTACTGATAGTAAAACATAATGTATCATGCTCTATCTACTGATAGTAAAACATAATGTATCACCTAGCATATCTACTGATAGTAAAACATAATGTATCACCTAGCATACAGTGCATTTGTAAAGTATTCAGACCCCTTCACTTTCTCCACATTTTGTTACAGTCTTATTCTTAAAATGGATCAAATCTTTTTTCCCCCCCTCATCAATCTACACACAATACCCCATAATGACAAAGCAAAAACTGTTTATTTTTTATTGTGCAATATCTATTTAATTACTATGGACTTGCGATCTATGTAGGCAGGTAAACATGCCAAAATTAAAACAGGATTGTATTCAGGCAACATATGAGATGTGAATGGGCAACATTTAATTCCAAAGTGAGAGTTTATTTTCTCTCGCTTCAGAACAAATAATTTCAATACATTTTGCATCGTTTTTTCGTGGTTGCGTCATATTTCTGTTCACACTTTCCGTTGAAGTATCGATGCATGCTTCAAAATATGAACAAGCGGAGTACGCATCCGAGAAGTGCCCTCCATGCTCCGTTTCGCATACTTTGATTTGGACTCATACCCCGACCCTCCAGTGATCGGAGCACGGTAGATTGCATTTTGAGAAACACCCCAATGTCTCACACAGTAGCCTATATCTTACCTCCCTATCTACTGATAGTAAAATGTATACTATGGCATTGTTGAATAGTCGATTTTGATTGGCTGGAGGGCATTCTAGAGCGTGCACTCATTTCAGATAACAGGACAGTTGCAAAAGTGATTTGATTTGATGAGATCTACTCACTGTGTAGGACAGGACTCCATTAACACGAGACTTGGAGAGACTGAATCCCACCTAGAGAGAGAGAGCGAGAGAGAGAACAATGATACAATTCACTAACTGGAGACAACACAGCCAGAGAGAGCAAGCTGCACACACCAGTTGTTCTTACAGGGTGCTTGCTGTCGTCCTCAGGCAGTGTCAGGGAGAGAACGTTGACGTCCAGAGTTCCGTTGGCAAAGAAACCAAAGGTGTTGAGATGAACCACAAAATCTCCTGTCATTCTGAAAGAGAGAGATGGGAAAGAGAGAGAGAGGGAAAGAGAGAGAGACGGAGGAAGAGGGGAGGGGGGAAAGAGGAGGGAGAGACAGGGGGAGGAGAGAGAGGGGAGATCAGAGGAAGGAGGGGGGAGGAGGGCGAGAGAGAGGGGGGATAGAGAGAAGAGGGGGGAGAGGAGAGGAGGGAAGAGGAGAGAGGGAAATGAGGGAACGAGGGAGAGAATGAGGGGGGGGGGAGAGAAGGGACGGGAGAGAAAATGTGGGGGAGAGAGGAGGAGAGGGAGAGAGAAAGGGGGAGAGGGAGAGAGAGGGCGGAAGAGAAAGGAGGGAGAGAAAAAGAGAGCCAGAGCGGAGAGAGAAGGCGGAAGAGGAGAGAGAAATGGGGGGAGAGAGGGAGGAGGAAGAAAGGGGGAGGGAGGGGGGAGAAAATGGGGGAGAGAGAAATGGGGGAAATGAGGGGGGAGAGGGGAGGCGGGGAGAGAAATGGAGGGAGGGCGGGAGGGGGAGAAAGAGGGGAGAAAAAGGGAGGGGGAAAAAGGGGGAGGGGGGGGAGGAAGGGGGGGAGGGGGAAAAAAGAAGAAAGGGGGGGGGAAACCGAGAGGAGGGGGAGAAATTAGGGGGGGGGGGGAAAAGGGGGGAGAAGAAATGGGGGGGGGGGGGGAGAGGGGGGAAGGGAGAAAGGAGGGGGGGAGAAGGAGGGGAGAGAAAGGGGGGAAAAAAGGGGGAGAGAGAGAAAAGGGGGGAGAGAAAGGGAAAGGAGAAAATGGGGGGGGGACGGGGGGGGGGGCGGGGAGGAAAAATGGGGGGAGAGAGGGGGAGGGGGGGGGGAGAGGGGGGGGGAGAAATGGGGGGGCGGGGGGAGAGAATTTGGGGAGAGAAGGGAGGGAGAGAAAGGGGGAGAGAAGGGGGGGGGAGAAAAGGGGGGGAAGAAAATGGGGGGAAATGAGGGGGGGAGAAAAATTGGGGAGCGAAATGAGGGGGGAGGGAAGAGGGGGGGGAAAAATGGAGAAAGGGGGGAGAAAAGGGTGGGGGGAGAGAGAGGGGGAGAGAATAAGGGGGAGGGAGAGGGGGAGAAATGAGGGGGGGGGCGGAGAAAAAATTGGGGGAGAGAGAGGGCGGGAGAGAATTAGGGGGAGAGGGCGGGAGGAAGGAAATGAGGGGGAGAAATGGAGGGAAATATGGGGGGAATGAGGGGGAGAGAAATGGGGGAGGAAATGAGGGGGGGAGGGCGGGAGAAAATGAGGGGGGAGAGGGGGGCGGGGGGAAAATTGAGGGGGGGAGGGCGGGAGAGAAATGAGGGGGGAGAGGGGGGGGGAGAGAAATGAGGGGGGGAGAAATGGGGGAATAATGGGGAGAAATGGGGGAGAGAAATGGGGGAGATAAATGGGGGGGGGGGGGGGGGGGGGAAAGGGCTTGGGGGGTTTGTGAAAGTTTGACACGTTAGGTGAAACCCTGGGCAAATGGTCATAACACCCTCGGCTGTCTTAGTTTTTCCCTTTTTACCCCTTTGCTCCTTCTCCCTCAGCTGGGGTACGTTTGCTAATGACTTTCTTTTTTTTCCCAAATTGGGGCCCCCGGCTATTTTGCTCTTTTTTTGCGGGCGTGCCTTTGCGCCCCGGGGGGCCCCGGGGGGGTGGGGGGGGGGGGTGGGGGGGGGTGGGGGGGTAAAGGGGGGGGCGGGGGTGAGGGGGGGGGGGGGGGGGGGGGGTGGGGGGGGGGCGGGGGGGGAAAAAGGGGGGGGGGGCGGGTGGGGGGGGGGGGGGGGGGGGGGGGCCCCGGGGGGGGGGGGGGTTTTTGGGGGGGGGGGGGGGGGGGGGGGGAAAAAATTTTTTTTTTTTTGGGGGGGTTTGTTTTTTTTTCCTGTAAAAAAATCTGTTGGGGGGGAGGGTTTACTTTTTGATTTTGAAAAAATAAAGGGGTTTGGGGCACTCCTCTAAATTTTTTTTAAAAATCGAAATTAAATTCCTCGCTAGCAAGCTATTTAATTAGCTAGCTATGTAATTAGCTAATAGCAGCTAGCAAACAGAGTTGCAGAAATCCCCTGACGTATGTGCTACACGTTAGCTAGCTAGCTTAGGTATGGCTGAAATGTGCAAATGAAAGTTAGCTAGCGTGATGCATTTTGAACAAGTAAAAATTTTTAAACTTTGCTAGCACTATCCCCATTTCGTATATTATTGGCTATAAGTACACATTACCTGAGAACACAGACCATTAAGTAACGTTAAAGCAATATTGGTGTTATTTTACCTTTAGGGCGAGTTTGTGTCTTCTTGCTTCGCAAAAGACCAACACCAGTACGAGCACAAAAACCGCTAAACCAACGCCTCCATGTCGTCCCATGGTAGCTAACAAGCTAGCTAGCCGGCTGGTAATATGTTACAAAACTAGAGTATACCCCTATTCACTACAGAATAAATTATATTCCTTGATAACAAGTGAAAATAATCAATTTTCCAAAACTATAAAGCTCCCCTAGTTCACACTTCCTGGTCTCATTGCTACTTACACGTCATCAGGGTAACCGGTGACCACTCTGCTACGGCGCCCCCAACCGGAGGGAAGGTATAGGACGGGAGGAAACTGGTGGGTTTGATCCCACACGATGTTCTGTTATCCAGAACTGAATATCGTTTCTAGATAAATATTTAATGTTGAAAATGCATCAGTCTGGTGCAAACTGAACCAAGTCAGTTAAATGATGATGATGGTGTTGTTGATGATGACTGCACTTTGGGACCTGGGACCAAAATAATCTCATACATTTTGTTCTTTCAAGGAATAAATGATTTAATGAATGAATGCGATACATGTGTTTATTTAGGGAAAGAATGTGATGAAAATGTTAAAATATTAAAACATATAGTGCATTCAGAAAGTATTCAGACCACATTTTTGTACGTTACAGCCTTATTCTAAAATGGATGAAATAAATAAAAATCCTCATAAATCTACACACAATACCCCATAATGACAAAGCGAAAACAGGTTTTTTGAAATGTTTGCAAATGTATTAAAAATAAAAAATAGAAATCCTTATTTACATACGTATTCAGTCCCTTTGCTATGAGACTCAACATTTAGCTCAGGTGCATCCTCTTTCCATTGATCATCCTTGAGATGTTTCAACAACTTGATTTGAGTCCACCTCTGGTAAATTCAATTGATTGGACATGATTTGGAAAGGCACACACCTGTCTATGTAAGGTCCCACAGTTGACAGTGCATGTCAGAGCAAAAACCAAGCCATGGGTTCAAAGGAATTGTCCATTGAGCTCCGAGACAGGATTGTGTCGAGGCACAGATCTGGGGAAGGGTACCAAAAAATGTCTGCAGCATTGAAGGTCCCCAAGAACACAGTGGCCTCCATTATTCTTAAATGGAAGAAGTTTGGAACCACCAAGACTCTTCCTAGAGCTGGCCGCCCGGCCAAACTGAGCAATCGGGGGAGAAGGGCCTTGGTCAGGGAGGTGACCAAGAACCCGATGGTCACTCTGACAGGGCTCCAGAGTTCCTCCGTGGAGATGGGAGAACCTTCCAGAAGGACAACCATCTCTGCAACACTCCACTCCTCAGTAAAAGGCACATGACTGGTTGCATCACTACCTGGCATGGCAACTGCTCGGCCGCCGACCGCAAGGCACTACAGAGGGTAGTGCGTACGGCCAGTACATCACTGGGGCCAAGCTTCCTGTCATCCAGGACCTCTATATCAGGCGGTGTCAGAGGAAGGCCCTAAAAATTGTCAAAGACTCCAGCCACCCTAGTCATAGACTGTTCTCTCTGCTACCGCACGGCAAGCGGTACCGGAGCGCCAAATCTAGGTCCAAAAGGCCTAGACCTCAGACGGGGACGAAGGTTCATCTTCCAACAGGACAATGACCCTAAGCACACAGCCAAGACAACGCAGGAGTGGCTTCGGGACAAGTCTCTGAATGTCCTTGAGTGGCCCAGCCAGAGTCCGGACTTGAACCCGATCCAACATCTCTGGAGAAACATGAAAATAGCTGTGCAGCGACGCTTCTCATCCAACCTGACAGAGCTTGAGAGGATCTGCAGAGAAGAATGGGAGAAACTCCTCAAATACAGGTGTGCCGAGCTTGTAGCTAAATACCCAAGAAGACTCAAGGCTGTAATCGCTGCCAAAGGTGCTTCTACAAAGTACTGAGTAAAAGGTCTGAATACTGCAGCTGAAAAACATCCCCACAGCATGATGCTGCTACCACCATGCTTCACCGTAGGGATGGTGCCAGGTTTCCTCAGACGTGACGCTTGGCATTCAGGCCAAAGAGTTCAATCTTGGTTTCATCAAACCAGAGAATCTTCTTTCTCATGGTCTGAATGCCTTTTATGTGCCTTTTGGCAAACTCCAAGCGGGATGTCATGTGCCTTTTACTGAGGAGTGGCTTCCGTCTGGCCACTCAACCATAAATGCCAGATTGGTGGAGTACTGCAGAGATGGTTGTCCTTCTGAGGGTTCTCCCATCTCCACAGATGAACTCTTGATCTATGTCAGTGACCAAATCATGTGCCTTTCCAAATCATATCCAATCAACTTAATTACCCACAGGTGGACTCCAATCAAGTTGTAGAAACATTTCAAAGATGATCAATGGAAACAGGATGCAACTGAGCTCAATTTCAAGTCTAATTACAAAGGGTCTGAATACTTATAAGGTATTTGTTTTTTATTTTTAATATATTTGCAAAAATGTCTAAAAACCTGTTTTCACTTTGTCATTATGTGGCATCGTGTGGAGATTGATGAGAATCATCACAGGAGCTGCAGGCCCAGGATGCTGGGCCTCTGCAGGAGCTGCTGGTACTGGTACCACAGGCCCGTGGGGTTGGACCTGGACAGGAGCTGCTGGTGTACACATAATACATTTTAAACACAGAACCATTATCATTGTTTGTGATGAGGAGGTCACCAGGGATGAGACTAATAGAGCTAGAAGACATGATGAGAACATTTCATAATCATCATTCAATAACAGCAACACCCGTAATTCTACTTCTATTCCTAATGCTACTACTTCCACCTGCACCACACCTTCATTTGAGTTTAGCTCTACATTTCCGTTACCTGGCAACCAGACAAGTCCGTTCCATACATTTTCAGTACTGCCCTTTTCTTTCAGAAGAAGATCAAACTCTTTAACAACAGTTTTTAAGAACAACTGAAAAGTGGAGAAGTAGTTTTCATAGGATTGGAAATCCACAAATTCTGCTGTCTGGAACACAAAGCAAGAGTCAGTATCTACGATCTTACATGTAATGTGAATATACTGAGGTCACAGCTAAATAAATATCTAAAGTTGTAATCTCTTCATGGCTTATAGATATTACTGTTGGGTTGATCCTATATCCATGTGTAATATTTGTGGAGAGGATGTATGGTTTGTTCGGGGTTAGATTGCAGTGAGGAGTTGTTTCAATCAAGGTCTCTTTGTCTCCATTCCTTGTCTTCCTCTCATCCTGCACCTTGAGAATCAACAATGGACATATAAATTGTGCTTCAATCAAATACATGTTGCTTGTAGGTCATATGTTTTCATCACAATACATATCTGCTTTGTTAGTTTCAATCAGCTGTGTTTACTTTAGCTTGCCTTGCATAATGGAACGAATGAAACAGTCACAATAGTGCAAACTCAAAGCTAAATCAAGCACACATCAAGTACTTTGACATACAGTGCCTTGCAAAAGTATTCATCCCCCTTGGCGTTTTTCCTATTTTGTTGCATTACAACCTGTAAATTAAATTGATTTTTATTTGGATTTCATGAAATGGACATACACAAAATAGTCCAAATTGCTGAAGTGAAATGAAAAAAATATTTTTTTCACAAAATTCTAAAAAAAAATAATGGAAAAGTGGTGCGTGCATATGTATTCACCCCCTCTGCTTTGAAGCCCCTAAATAAGATCTGGTGCAACCAATTACCTTAAGAAGTCACATAATTAGTTAAATAAAGTCCACCTGTGTGCAATCTAAGTGTCACATGATCTGTCACATGATCTCAGTATATATACACCTGTTCTGAAAGGCCCCAGAGTCTGCAACACCACTAAGTAAGGGGCACCACCAAGCAAGCGGCACCATGAAGACCAAGGAGCTCTCCAAACAGGTCAGGGACAAAGTTGTGGAGAAGTACAGATCAGGGTTGGGTTATAAAAAAATATCCGAAACTTTGAACATCCCACTAAGCACCATTAAATCCATTATTAAAAAATTTAACGAATATGGCACCACAACAAACCTGCCAAGAGAGGGCCGCCCACCAAAACTCACGGACCAGGCAAGGAGGGCATTAATCAGAGAGGCAACAAAGAGACCAAAGATAACCCTGAAGGAGCTGCAAAGCTCCACAGCGGAAATTGGAGTATCTGTCCATAGGACCACTTTAAGCCAAACACTCCACAGAGCTGGGCTTTACAGAAGAGTGGCCAGAAAAAAGCCATTGCTTAAAGAAAAAAATAAGCAAACACGTTTGGTGTTTGCCAAAAGCCATGTGGGAGAATCCCCAAACATATGGAAGAAGGTACTCTGGTCAGATGAGATTAAAATTGAGCTTTTTGGCCATCAAGGAAAACTCTATGTCTGGCGCAAACCCAACACCTCTCATCACCCCGAGAACACCATCCCCACAGTGAAGCATGGTCGTGGCAGCATCATGCTGTGGGGATGTTTTCATTGGCAGGGACAGGGAAACTGGTCAGAATTGAAGGAATGATGGATGCTGCTAAAAACAGGGAAATTCTTGAGGGAAACCTGTTTCTGTCTTCCAGAGATTTGAGACTGGAACGGAGGTTCACCTTCCAGCAGGACAATGACCCTAAGCATACTGCTAAAGCAACACTTGAGTGGTTAAAGGGAAACATTTAAATGTCTTGTCAAAGCCCAGACCTCAATCCAATTGAGAATCTGTGGTATGACTTAAAGATTGCTGTACACCAGCGGAACCCATCCAATTTGAAGGAGCTGGAGCAGTTTGGCCTTTGAAGATTGGGCAAAAATCCCAGTGGCTAGATGTGCCAAGCTTATAGAGACATACCCCAAGAGACTTGCAGCTGTAATTTCTGCAAAAAGGTGGCTCTACAAAGTATTGATTTTGGAGGGGTGAATAGTTATGCACGCTCAAGTTTTCTGTTTTTTTGGTCTTATTTCTTGTTTGTATAAAAAATATTTTGCATCTTCAAAGTGGTAGGCATGTTGTGTAAATCAAATGATACAAACCCCCCAAAAATCCATTTTAATTCCAGGTTGTAAGGCAACAAAATAGGAAAAATGCCAAGGGAGGTGAATACTTTCGCAAGCCACTGTAATTACTTGACTCTGGTCTGATTTCAACTAGTATATGAACATGCATTCTTGAGGCACAGGGCACATTTTATTGTTTCCATGTTGTGCGTTTGACACTGCCAGCTTGGTGGAATTCCAGCCAGATAGAAGTGGGGTATGAAATGTTATGCTGACCTCCCTGATCACAACATTACTGGGAAGCAACAACACATTCAGGATGGACCTCTCTTCAGGGACAAACAGTTGGTAGAATAACAACACAAGCCCCTGGATAGGGAAGACAGGAGCCTCATCCTTGGTGAGGCCATAATCAGAGAATCCAGTGATGTTTATTATGATCTATGTTTCTGTTGTCTAGATAACCCTGAAGGAGCTGCTATTTCAGCCACAGCCGTTGCTGACGGGTATAACATCGAACACACAGCCATGCAATCGCCATAGACAAACATTGGCAGTAGAATGGCCTTACTGAAGAGCTCAATGACTTTCAACGTGGCACCGTCATAGGATGCCACCTTTCCAACAAATCAGTTAGTCAAATTTCTGCCCTGCTAGAGCTGCCCCGGTCAACTGTAAGTGCTGTTATTGTGAAGTGGAAACGTCTAGGAGCAACAACGACTCACCCGCGAAGTGGTAGGCCACACAAGCTCACAGAACGGGACTGCCGAGTGCTGAAGCGCGTAAAAATCGTCTGTACTCGGTTGCTACACTCACTACCGAGTTCCAAACTGCCTCTTGAAGCAACATCAGCACAGAAACTGTTCGTTGGGAGCTTCATTAAATGGGTTTCCATGGCCGAGCAGCCACACACAAGCCTAAGAACACCATGCGCAATGCGTCAGCTGGAGTGGTGTAAAGCTTGCCGTCATTGGACTCTGGAGCAGTGGAAACGCGTTCTCTGGAGTGATTTATCACGCTTCCCCATCTGGCAGTCCGGATGCCAGGAGAACGCTACCTGCCCCAATGCATAGTGCCAACTGTAAAGTTTGGAGGAGGAATAATGGTCTGGGGCTGTTTTTCATTGTTCGGGCTAGGCCCCTTAGTTCCAGTGAAGGGACATCTTAACGCTACAGCATACAATTACATTCTAGACGATTCTGTGCTTCCAACTTTGTGGCAACAGTTTGGGGAAGGCCCGTTCCTATTTCAGCATGACAATGTCCCCGTGCTCAAAGCGAGGCCCATACAGAAATGGTTTGTCCAGATCGGTGTGGAAGAACTTGACTGGCCTGCACAGAGCCCTGACCTCAACCCCATCGAACACCTTTGGGATGAATTGGAACGCCGACTGCGAGCAGTCCTAATCGCCCAACATCAGTGCCCAACCTCACTAATGCTCTTGTGGCTGAATGGAAGGAAGCCCCTGCAGCAATGTTCCAACATCTAGTGGAAAGCCAACCCAGAAGAGTGGAGGCTGTTATAGCAGCAAAGGGGGGACCAACTCCATATTAATGCCATGATTTTGGAATGAGATGTTCGACAAGCATGTGTCCACATATTTTTGGTCATGTAGTGTACCTAATAAGAAAATGTAGATTCATTAATTACTAACTACCTATATATTAACAATACAAACGCTATCCTATGCTGTATGTCACAGTAGAAGACCATTCAAACATCAGTGTCTTCTTCTTCTTGTCTTGTAATCTTGTAATCTGTAATCTGCAGACATAAATTCATGGGGGTCATCAACAAATACATCATCAGTAGAATGAATGATACATCGGATCAATGTTTTTATGTAAGAAAATAATTACATTTAAAAAAAAATTAAAGCATAGAAATACCATTATATAAACTTCTGCACTATGTACAGATATAAAAATGTTTGTGTCACAACATTAAAACAGTCCCTGATCTTGTAGTCAGCTGCCAGTTGTCACACCCTGGCTCGGGGACTCATTATGTTGAGCCAGGGTGTGTTCATTCTATGTTTTCCGTTTCTTTGGTGGGTGTTCTAGGTTGTCTATTTTCTATGTTTGCCGGTGTGACTCCCAATCAGAGGCAACGAGTGTCAGCTGTCGGCTGGTTGTCTCTGATTGGGAGCCATATTTAATCTGTCTGTTTTTCTTTCGGGTTGTGGGATTTTGTTCGTGTGTGTTCGTGTTGTACCATAGACGTCACGCATTCGTTGTTTATTTGTTTTGGTTCGTGTGATCATTTAAATAAATAGAATATGTTCACTCGCAACGCTGCGCCTTGGTCTCCCTCATTAGACGATCGTGACAGAAAATCCCACCTAAACCAGACCAAGCAGCGTGAAGAGGAGAGAGGAAGGACCTTGGATCAGGGGAGTAGGAGTTTCGGCTGGGCCACGCTAAGTGAAGAGGAGAGAGGCTGGTCTATGAAGCAATGGATCGAGAGTCTGGCGAGAGCTAGGGAGGCCTGGTCCACGGGGAGGAGAGAACCCCAGAACATTTTTAGGGGGGGGCTCACGACGTGGACGACGGGGCATAAGGAGGCCGCGATGGAGCGGTCCAGCGGGTGTGAAGAGGAGGCCGCCAGGTTAAGGGGGCCACTGGTCACAGAGGAGAGGGAAAGTGTGGAGGCACGGCGAGAGGTACTGGGGTGTGTTACCAGTCCGGTCCGGCCCGTTCCTGATCCCTGCGTAGGGCCAGTGGTGTGTGTCCCCAGTACGGTCCGGCCTGTTCCTGTTCCTCGCATCGAGCCTGTGGTGCGTGTCGTCAGCCCGGCCCGGCCTGTTCCTGCTTCCCGCATCGAGTCTGTGGTGCGCGTCGCCAGCCCGGCCCGGCCTGTTCCTGCTCCCTGCACCAAACCTGTGGTACGCGTCGCCAGCCTGGTCCGGCCCGTTCCTGCTCTCCGCACCAAGTCTGTGGTGCGCGTCGCCAGCCCGGCCCGGCCTGTTCCTGCTCCCCGCACCAAACCTGTGGTGCGCGTCGCCAGCCCGGCCCGGCCTGTTCCTGCTCCCCGCACCAAACCTGTGGTGTGCGTCGTCAGTCCGGCACGGCCCGTGCCTGTTCCCCGCACCAGGTCGGGGGTGCGCTTCGACGGCCCGGCTCGGCCCGCTCCTGCTCCCCACACCAAGCCAGTGGTGTGCGTCGTCAGTCCGGCACGGCCCGTGCCTGTTCCACCGGTGGCTGGTCCGGCACCGGTCAGAGACTTCACGTCGGAGCTAGAGCAATCCGCTCCACCAGTGTTCAGTCCAGCTCCGGCCAGCAGGGCCAGACCGGACCAGGGGTACTTTGGGGGGTTCGAGAAGGAGTGGGGGTCAAGCCCGGAGCCGGAGCCGCCGCCGAGGAGGAATGCCCACCCAGCCCTCCCGTTTTTGCTCTTATTTAGGCGCGGTCGCAGTCCGCGCCTTTAGGGGGGGGTACTGTCACACCCTGGCTCGGGGACTCATTATGTTGAGCCAGGGTGTGTTCATTCTATGTTTTCCGTTTCTTTGGTGGGTGTTCTAGGTTGTCTATTTTCTATGTTTGCCGGTGTGACTCCCAATCAGAGGCAACGAGTGTCAGCTGTCGGCTGGTTGTCTCTGATTGGGAGCCATATTTAATCTGTCTGTTTTTCTTTCGGGTTGTGGGATTTTGTTCGTGTGTGTTCGTGTTGTACCATAGACGTCACGCATTCGTTGTTTATTTGTTTTGGTTCGTGTGATCATTTAAATAAATAGAATATGTTCACTCGCAACGCTGCGCCTTGGTCTCCCTCATTAGACGATCGTGACATGTTGGTGATGTTTTAGTCTGTAGCTAGGTTACCATCCAGTTTGCGACAGATTTTCATGTGAATATTCTCTCAAATCTGCACAAAACAATATGCACATTTTCCCACCAGAGATGTGTTTCCATCAAACTGATTTATAGAGAGCAATAGTGATGGCGTCTTTTTGTTGTAACCAACTCCGCCATGGTTCGTTGGGAAAAGCCAATGGGGAAATGAATGGCGTTTTTGTAAAGTTTTTCGATAATTGCCGAAAGTAAGGTCTGCGGTAAACACAGGCTTAGGAGAGCTTATACTTTTTGTTCTATGAGATAATCTTTATCAGCTAAAGTAACTTTTTGTGAATTTTTTAACATTTATGTAGTAATATTAAACACAAATCATAAAGGCTTCATAATTCATAAAGGTAATGTTGACTGACTGATATTATCTCATAAAACAAAACGTATAACATCTCCTAAGGCTGTGTTAATTTCGGACTTATTTTGGACATTCATACCAAAACCCTATTCTTTCCATAGGGATGGCTGAACGAACCAGAGGTAACTCATTTCCGGGTTTTAGGACTACAAGCTAGCGAGCTCTATTGCGGATAAAATGCTGAGCGTGGTGACGTACTGCACATAGAAATAACTTGGCGTAGTGCACATAAAAATTAATTCCCATGTACTGAATGAAAAATATAAGTTAAATGGGTTTCCAACGCATTTTCAACTCTACTGATGGTTTTGTCACAAAAACTGTTGCATTATAACAAATGTGCCCACTCTGGTCTTGGCACGTGCGCTCTAGCCAACAGCTAGATACAGTGCAGGTCGGCTACCTACATTATGAGATTATTATGGATAAGAGCGATATTATTTGTATTAGTCAAACGGCAGCAAAGCATAGTTCAAAATGTCACCAGAATAAGACCCTCGATATTTATTGGAAAGGAGCATAAAGCTCATCACCTTGCATATTCACCACCCTGTGAAGTTTATCATAACTTATTTCATCTGAAGCCTGAACTGCATGCTTTCCCAAGTCTTAATGGGAGGACCACACAACATATGGCGTGACTCCAAATTTACTCCGATATGTTGATTATTATATACATATTTGCGTATAAAGGCGTTTTGGCACTCCCATTTCTCGCATAATACATTTTCCCGACACAAAAAGATCCCACCATGTCAAATGAACTAATTGTCTGTCTGCATTTATAAAAGTGTACCAGCATTTCCTGTTTTATCAGCCCGGTCGTGACTTTTTTCATGCGTCAGGTAATTCATCCGCATGAATTGGTTGGATGGAAACCTTGTTACTCAAAAGGCTATTTTACTGACTCAGAATGACTGTTCGCGACCTTTAACAAGTTATATTTTTGTATCTACAGCTACACCACAAGGTGGCGCTACAGCAGGTAAATATCATTTCCTGTCTTCCCCGGGAGAGTTAGTTGTGTAAGAGTTCCTTCATGTCTGATTATTGCAGCGAAAACAATCGTGTATCTTTTTTTAGGATCCTAAACACAATCGAAAGAAAACATGAGTTACTAAAGATAGTGTGCATAGAGTTACTATAGTAACCAAGTGCTCTGATATAGCAATAGAAATACAAATACATTCATTTAGATATATTCACCTCAATAAGGTGCAGTCTCCCACTACAGAGACACCCATACTCACCAGCTCTACATAGCCATGGGACAAACTGCTAACAGGAAGTCAGTGTATTGGCACAATCTTCAAAACCATAAACATTTTGAATGTCTTCGATTGCAATTATTAAAGGTAGACTCAGCAAGATGGCATCATCACACACAACAGGGAACTTGTTTACCTACTTAAACATACAAGGAGAATTCAGATCCGTCAGGACTGTTTATTTTAGTTATTATGATGTCACATGTTATAGTTCTCATTGTTTTATGTTTCTGTATCTAGGGACAACAACACATGTTTCTTATCTGCTGCTGGGCACTCTGGCAGAGCTGGTCTCAGAACAGCTGGAGACATTCCAGTGGCACCTGAGTCAGGGAGTGGAGGATTTTCCTTCAATCCCAAAGAGCCAGTTGGAGAACGCTACCAAAGAGGCCACAGTGGATATGATGGTGCAGCGATACCTTGACGACGGCACTGTGAAGATCACACTGGAGATCCTGAGGAAGATGGGCCAGAACAAACTGGCTATTGAGTTAAAGGAGAAGTTGACAAATGAATGTCTGAATGTGCAGCCTCAACACAACATGAGTGAATAATGTATTACATTCCCAAGGAGGGGAGAGGAAGGGGGTCACAGTTAACTCCGGGGGTTCTGTGCCATAGTGTGAAACATTACGAGTTTTTCAAATGCAGATCATGTAATGCTTACAAAGGACATCAACCATTTTCACACCACATGAAAAGTTAAGGATGTCTTATCTAACAAGATAGGCTATCTGCAACATTGTGAAAGTTTAACGGTCTTGAATGAGCCCCAGGTCTCAGGCAAGGTGACATCACTGTGAGGCTACTGTCTACCAGACAACCTACCTGTGTTACTCTGGTACACTGGCTGCAGACTACAAGATCAGGGACTCTATTCTTTATAGTCTCCCAATATAAAGGAGGAATATTTTTATATATCTGAAAGTGGAAGAATTATCAGGAACATTGTGAATGTTTAATCATCTTGGTCAGGTCTCAGGCAAGGTGACATCACTGAGAATATAATCTATCAACAACTTGACTGTGCTACTCTGGTGCACTGGTGTCACGCCCTGGCTCGGGGGACTCTCGTATGTTGAGCCAGGGTGTTAGTTTCTATGTTTTTGTTGTGGGTCTAGGTTACTTATTTCTATGTTGGTCTGAGTGACTCCCAATCAGAGGCAACGAGTGTCAGCTGGTTGTCTCTGATTGGGAGCCATATTTAAACAGTCGGGTTTTCATTCGTGTTGGTGGGTTTTTGTTTCGAGTCTGTTTATGGTAACCGTGAACTGTCATGTATCGTTCATTGTTTTGTTCGTGTTGCCTTCAGTGAGAATAAATATGTTCCATGTCGTGTTGCTGCGCTGCATGTATTTTGGTGCGCTATTTTGTGCTTTCCTCCTTGTTTGTGTTTTAGGAGTAGATTACGCACTTGTTGATTGCGCCCGTTTGTTTACGCCTGTGCGCGCTTTTCTCGCCTCCGGGCTGGTTTTGGATATTTATTGTGATATCTACTAAAGTATTTTTGTTGGACTTTACTTCTGCCTCCTGCGCCTGATTCCACACCACACCTACCATAGCAACTCCTGACAGAATTACACACGACGTCGGGGCAGCAGGAGGCCGCTATGGAGCGGTCCAGCGGGGTTGCAGAGGAGGCCGCCAGGTTACGGGGGCCACTGGTAGAAGAGGGGATGGAAGGTGTAGAGGCACGGCGAGAGGTACTGGGGTGTGTTACCAGTCCGGTCCGGCCCGTTCCAGATCCCGGTGTAGGGCCAGTGGTGTGTGTCCCTAGTACGGTCCGGTCTGTTCCTGCTCCCCGCACCAAGTCTGTGGTGCGTCTCGTCAGCCCGGCTCTGCCCGTTCCTGCTCTCCGCACCAGGTCTGTGGTGCGCGTCGCCAGCCCAGTCCGGCCCATTCCTGCTCCCCGCATCAAGTCTGTGGTGCGTCTCGTCAGCCCGGCTCTGCCCGTTCCTGCTCCCCGCACCAGGTCTGTGGTGCGTGTCGCCAGCCCAGTCCGGCCCATTCCTGCTCCCCGCACCAAGCCTGTGGTGCGTCTCGTCAGCCCGGCTCTGCCCGTTCCTGCTCTCCGCACCAGGTCTGTGGTGCGCATCGCCAGCCCAGTCCGGCCCATTCCTGCTCCCAGCACCAAGTCTGTGGTGCGTTTCGTCAGCCCTGTCCGGCCCGCTCCTGCTCCCCACACCAAGCCAGTGGTGTGCGTCGTCAGTTCAGCACGGCCCGTGCCTGTTCCCCACACCAAGCCAGTGGTGTGCATCGTCGGTCCGGCACGGCACGTGCCTGTTCCACTGGTGCCTGGTCCGGCGCCGGTCAGATGCGTTACGCCGGAGCTAGAGCAATCCGCTCCACCAGTGTGCAGTCCAGCTCCGGTCAGCAGGACCAGACCGGACCAGGGGTACTTTGGGGGGGTTAGAGAGCGAGTGGGGATCATGCCCGGAGCCGGATCCGCCGCCTAGGCGGAGTGCCCAACCGGTCCCTCCCCTGTTGTGTTTCGTTGGCGCGGTCGGAGTCCGCGCCTTTGGGGGGGGTACTGTCACGCCCTGGCTCGGGGGACTCTCGTATGTTGAGCCAGGGTGTTAGTTTCTATGTTTTTGTTGTGGGTCTAGGTTACTTATTTCTATGTTGGTCTGAGTGACTCCCAATCAGAGGCAACGAGTGTCAGCTGGTTGTCTCTGATTGGGAGCCATATTTAAACAGTCGGGTTTTCATTCGTGTTGGTGGGTTTTTGTTTCGAGTCTGTTTATGGTAACCGTGAACTGTCACGTATCGTTCATTGTTTTGTTCGTGTTGCCTTCAGTGAGAATAAATATGTTCCATGTCGTGTTGCTGCGCTGCATGTATTTTGGTGCGCTATTTTGTGCTTTCCTCCTTGTTTGTGTTTTAGGAGTAGATTACGCACTTGTTGATTGCGCCCGTTTGTTTACGCCTGTGCGCGCTTCTCTCGGCTCCGGGCTGGTTTTGGATATTTATTGTGATATCTACTAAAGTATTTTTGTTGGACTTTACTTCTGCCTCCTGCGCCTGATTCCACACCACACCTACCATAGCAACTCCTGACACAACAATATTTTTCCCCGATAAAAAGTTTATCTCATGTGAAACTACCAGGAAGTCTGAAAAGACAGACTGAGTGGGCGGGGAGCTCACCTTGACTGACAGTTCTTTGAAACCGCCTATGTAAAGCAACATGGACGCAGTGTTGCAATGAGATTGTCTCAAGATAATTTGCTGATACACAAAGCAACTCATATCATGGTTTCACAAATTATTTGTTTATCCTGTTTGGTTATTGTAAAAGCATCAATATAGAAATAATGGTTGCTATATCATTTAGCTAGATAGCCCAAATGGAATTTTCAGCACTGTTTATCAAGCTAGCTAGATAGATCATCTTGGACAATTTTTGTTGAAACTTTACAGGGTGAGGTCTGGGTAAGTTATATATATACACACACTGAGTGTACAAAACATTAAGAACACCTTCCTAATATTGAGTTACACCCCCCCTTTTGCCCTCAGAACAGCCTCTTTTCGTCGGGGCATGGACTCTACAAGGTTTCGAAAGCGTTCCACAGGGAGGCTGGCCCATGTTGACTCAAATGCTTCACACAGTTGTGTCAAGTTGACTGGATGTCCTTTGGGTGGTGGAAACCCAGCAGCGTTGCAGATCTTGACACAAACCGGTGCGCCTGGCACCTACTACTATATCTCGTTCAAAGGCATTTAAATATTTTGTCTTGGCCATTCACCCTCTGAATGGCACACATACACAATCCATGTCTCAATTGTCTCAAGCCTTAAAAATCATTCTTTAACCCATCCCCTCCCCTGACTGAAGTGGATTTAACAAGTTACATCAATAAGGGATCATAGCTTTCACCTGGATTCACCTGGTCAGTCTATGTCAGGAAAGAGCAGGTGTTCATAATGTTTTGTCCACTCAGTCAGACAATGTTAATTACTTAATATGTCATATATCATGACTATCAATGATGTCAAGAAGTTTGTATGAATCTCATGTTTGTCTCTTGATGTAATGACATGACAATTGTGTCTGAGTTTTGGGCTAACCTTCCTCCATTTTTGTTCCATGCTGGTGAAAGACCTAGCTAGCCAGTAACTAGCTAACACCAGACACAAATGAAAGCGGAAACCTATAAGTATATTTGCCTTAGAAAATATAATTACAGGTTTCCCCTATTCATCGAACACGCTGCTATGTAAACCACACCCCTCTGCGAATACGCCTTCTGCGATGTTGGTTACAAGGCGGTACTTATTTTAATTAGGTAAGAAAATAATGTCACAAAAATCCTTTAATAATCCCAGCTCCTGAATCCAAGTGGTTGACATGGGGGAGAGGATGAGTAACTTTATGATAACTTTATCAATGCAGAAGCAACAGTCATTTTTCATACTTTGGTCATCCTACTTTGATCTGATTTAATCCGAATATCATCACATTTCATGAAAAACATGATTTTGACTGTGCATGACCTTTAACAAAATAAGTGACAGACCATAAAGAATATAGTCGTTTAAGTTTATGGTGCAGTTTATGAGGTTAAACCGCAGGTCAAATCAAATGGCGCACAACACAGAACCATTAGGAGAATATGAGTTGTTCCCAATTGAATTGTGAGTTGATGAGACTAAGACAAGTATAAGGTTTGATGAGACCAGTTACCTGTAGACTTCACTTCTGTTGGTGAGGCTGTGGATTAAAAGAGAAGGTGATGTACTACATTTATATGGTGAAATAATCAATTGTATCATAATTAGATTAAATCAACAACAGCACTACTACCATACTATTATGATGATTGCTACTAATGTAAAATGTAAATGTAAAATGCTACTATTACTACTAGTTCTATAGTAACTCCTACTCTCTCTGAATTTCAGTTACCTGGTAGTGAAACAAGGCGGTTCCATACACATTCATTTTCAGGACCGTCATGTTCTTCCAGAAGAAGATTAACTTCTTCAACAACAGTTTTTAAACGCAACAGGAATGTTGGCATGTAGTTTGTATAGGAATCATAATCCACAAACTCTGCTTCCTGGAAAAAATGCATAAGTATCAAGTCAAACAGAATTGTACGTGATTTCTATTTCTTATCAAGGTAGCATAACAAAAATAATTGACATGTGTTAACACATTTCCTCTCTCTCTCTCTCTAGCTCATGTTATATATATATTAGCCTACCTCTGGATCTATGTGATGTTCATCTGTAAGATCGGTGGAGAGGGTGTATTCTTGGTCCGGGGTTAGTCTACAGTTAGGATTTATTTCAATGTATTTTTCTCTGTCTCCATTCCTTCTCCTCCTTTTCTCACACACCTTGAGAGGATTGAAAATGGTTTGGAACACACTGTCATGGTGAGGTAGCTGTGGCGTGTGATTTGGACGGAGTCAGGCGCAGGAGGGTAAATCACAGAATAAAGGTTTATTCTGTATATATGTCGATACAAGGTACAAGGCGCTCCACCGAGCTCATATAACCTCCACAATAAACAATCACACACAAAGACAAGGGGGCAGAGGAAACACTTATACAGGTACTGATGAGGGGAATTGAAACCAGGTGTGTGTAATAAACAAGACAAAACAAATGGAATGATGAGATGAGGAGAGGCAGTGGCTAGAAGGCCGGTGACGACGAACACCGAAGCCTGCCCGAACAAGGAGAGGAAGCAGCTTCGGAGGAAGTCGTGACAGTAAGCCCTGCCTGAAACATGGAAGCCCAAATGTCGCCCTCGGACCTTGAGGGTATCGTCTTGATGTAATGGTTAAGATGTTGGGTTGGTGAGCGAGAGACCCCCCAGGTTTGGATTCACCATTTAGTGTTACGTTCCACCCCAAAATAAGGCAAAAGGTGAGTTCAACAGTACGAGTTTGATAGAATTCCAACGAAAGAAGAGTTTGACAACTCTAATCTACTTACCTCATCAATGTCAACATTTCTGGGCAGCAACAACACATTTAGGGTGGAATTATTTGTATCATCTGGGAGTTGGTAAAATAGTAGCACCAGACCACGGATAGGAGAGACAGGGGCTTCCATATCCTTGGTGATGCCATATTTGCTGAATCCATTGATGTTTAATATGACATGAGTTTCTGTTGTCTCATGGGGACGGAGAAACTCCATACTGTCATCATCAGTCTCATGGGCTACAGACAGGAAGTCACATCCACCCTCTAGGAGAGAAAGAGAACATTAGTCTTCTGTTCAGATGACAATAACAACCAAGTAGTGGAGTAGTGATGCTACTGATGGTGATTAAGAATACGTAGTCTATAACCTCCCTGGAAATGTATTACTTACCAGAATGAATCTCACAGTGTGGGAGGTGTAGTTGACAGACAGACTTCTGAGAGCAGTCAATGTTGAACAGGGGTCCTGCAGGTCTCTTGCCTCTCTTGGCTAGAAGCCTCCTGTTCCAGGGGACTGTCCTATAGAGCACCTCTCCCTCTCCCTCCATCCTAAACACCAGGCCTGTTATACTGCACTGACACAGACCTGAACGGAGGCACTGGAACCTGTAGAACAAACAATGGTGAAGAATGACATTTTAATTACATTTCCTGAATATGATTTGAAAAATGAGGCATTGTCCTTACAAACTATTCATGAGAAAACAAGTAAAATAATACTGAGTTACCTGTATGCTCCCTTGTCCTCACGATCGTAGATTTCTGGTTCAAAGTTTTCAGGAGACCTCTAAAATGTAAAAACAATAGATTTTAAAGGGTTTGAAGAGTAGTTTAATAGAAACATATTCAACTTGTCTATCTTTCTCTCTCTCTTCTTTCTTTCTTTCTCTCTCTTCTTTCTTTCTTTCTTTCTTTGTTTTTGTGGGGGTAGATCAGCTTAATATTGCAGATAGATTGTAACTTCCATCAATGTAATTGTCTGCATCACTTCCAATCCCCCATGTTTTTTATATATATACTCCCCTTTATTACTTTTCAACCCCACCATCCTTTCCCTACTTGGGGTAAATTAGTGAACAACAATGCCCAGGCCTCTACTTCCAGCCTATACTTACTATCTACACCTTATGAACACATTCAATTTTACAATAATTATATTTTATTTGTTTTTGCTCCTGAACTTCTTCTACTCTCAACCTCTCCGATTATTTTTCATGATGTCCATCCGGTTTGCTTCTATATGCCATATCTTTCTAACTGTGCTCTTTCCCAAAAGCTCCCAACATACAATCTATATACTTATTATGGACACAGTATGCTTACATTATTAGTTATCTTGTTATTATTTATTGTTATTTGTTATTAGTCCCATCCTTCAACTCCATTCAATACCTCCCATCTATCTTTTAACACCATCCATATAGGATTTATATTTGCCATATATATTTCAACTGTACTGTGATGTTTTACAAAAGTTCTGAACCTTTCTATTCTCATTGCTTCTACAGATTGTGAATTAAAAATAAACATTTTTGCTAAAAGTATTATTACATTATTGATCGATTGACTATGACTTTTCAGATCACCCAGTAATGCTATCTGCAAGGTTAGCTTCAGGTAAATATTGCAATCCTTTAGCCATTCCTGGACCTGTGTCCAAAAACAAGCTACAAATGGACAGAACCAAAACAAATGATCTAATGACTCTGTCTCTTCACAGCAAAATCTGCAGAGCTGGGAAGATTGTATCCCCCATATAAATAACATTCTATTGGTAGCAAGAATTTTATATAATAATTTAAATTGAAAGATTCAAATTTTTGAATCTGGTGTCGTTTTGCGTGTCAGTTCATAAACACTATGCCATGGGATCGGTACGTCAAAAATCTCTTCCCAACTATTTTGCAATTTATATGGGACGGCTGTCAATCCTTTGGTCCTTAAGTGAAACTGATATACTGTTTTATTTATCACAGTTTTCCTTAACCAATTATGTTATTTAATGCAAGGCCAACAGACAAGTTCCTTACTTTCTCCCCGTTCCACTTTCCTCTTCCACTTTTGCGGTAAGGCTGCAATTATTTGGTTGTAATTTTGGGTAGAGCAGACATTTCCATACGTTTTTGTTAGCTGCATGTGCGACATACAGTGGGGAAAAAAAGGATTTAGTCAGCCACCAATTGTGCAAGTTCTCCCACTTAAAAAGATGAGAGAGGCCTGTAATTTTCATCATAGGTACACGTCAACTATGACAGACAAAATGAGAAAAGAAATTCCAGAAAATCACATTGTAGGATTTTTAATGAATTTATTTGCAAATTATGGTGGAAAATAAGTATTTGGTCACCTACAAACAAGCAAGATTTCTGGCTCTCACAGACCTGTAACTTCTTCTTTAAGAGGCTCCTCTGTCCTCCACTCGTTACCGGTATTAATGGCACCTGTTTGAACTTGTTATCAGTACAAAAGACACCTGTCCACAACCTCAAACAGTCACACTCCAAACTCCACTACGGCCAAGACCAAAGAGCTGTCAAAGGACACCAGAAACAAAATTGTAGACCTGCACCAGGCTGGGAAGACTGAATCTGCAATAGGTAAGCAGCTTGGTTTGAAGAAATCAACTGTGGGAGCAATTATTAGGAAATGGAAGACATACAAGACCACTGATAATCTCCCTCGATCTGGGGCTCCACGCAAGATCTCACCCGTGGGGTCAAAATGATCACAAGAACGGTGAGCAAAAATCCCAGAACCACACGGGGGGACCTAGTGAATGACCTGCAGAGAGCTGGGACCAAAGTAACAAAGCCTACCATCAGTAACACACTACGCCGCCAGGGACTCAAATCCTGCAGTGCAAGACGTGTCCCCCTGCTTAAGCCAGTACATGTCCAGGCCCGTCTGAAGTTTGCTAGAGTGCATTTGGATGATCCAGAAGAGGATTGGGAGAATGTCATATGGTCAGATGAAACCAAAATATAACTTTTTGGTAAAAACTCAACTCGTCGTGTTTGGAGGACAAAGAATGCTGAGTTGCATCCAAAGAACACCATACCTAATGTGAAGCATGGGGGTGGAAACATCATGCTTTGGGGCTGTTTTTCTGCAAAGGGACCAGGACGACTGATACGTGTAAAGGAAAGAATGAATGGGGCCATGTATCGTGAGATTTTGAGTGAAAACCTCCTTCCATCAGCAAGGGCATTGAAGATGAAACGTGGCTGGGTCTTTCAGCATGACAATGATCCCAAACACACCGCCCGGGCAACGAAGGAGTGGCTTCGTAAGAAGCATTTCAAGGTCCTGGAGTGGCCTAGCCAGTCTCCAGATCTCAACCCCATAGAAAATCTTTGGAGGGAGTTGAAAGTCCGTGTTGCCCAGCGATAGCCCCAAAACATCACTGCTCTAGAGGAGATCTGCATGGAGGAATGGGCCAAAATACCAGCAACAGTGTGTGAAAACCTTGTGAAGACTTACATAAAACGTTTGACCTGTGTCATTGCCAACAAAGGGTATATAACAAAGTATTGAGAAACTTTTGTTATTGACCAAATACTTATTTTCCACTATAATTTGCAAATAAATTCATTAAAAATCCTACGTGATTTTCTGGATTTCTTTTTCTCATTTTGTCTGTCATAGTTGACGTTTACCTATGATGAAAATTACAGGCTTCTCTCATCTTTTTAAGTGGGAGAACTTGCACAATTGGTGGCTGACTAAATACTTTTTTCCCCCACTGTATATCAAAAAAGGTTTGGTATTCCTCGACTGGTATGCCATCCAACCGTGGAGTTTTCCCAGACTTAAAGTCTTTAATTGCATCCAGAAGTTCCTCCTCTGTAATTTCATCTTCACATGAGTCTTTCTGTATGGCTGTTAATTTTACATTATCAATAGAAAAAAAATCTCTACAATTAGCTTCAGTTAGAGGAGATGGAGGCGACTGAAAAGAAAACATATGCTTAAAGTACTTTGCTTCCTCCTTCAAAATATAATTAGGTGAATCATGGGTGACTCCGTCAATTGTAACCAGTTTCATGAAGTTATTTTTGGTAGCATTCCTATGTTGAAGAAAAAAAAATAATTTTGTGAATTTTTCCCCATATTCCATCCAGTTTGCTTTATTTTTATATATAAATATAATATGATCTTTCTTGAATAAGTTTCTCAATTTCTTTTTGTTTTTCCTCTAATTTATTCTGAGCCTTCTATCTGTTCTGTTAGACTTTCTATTTCCTTTGTTAGTATAAACTCTTTTGACCTAAATTGCTTTTGTTTTCGAGATGAGTACTGAATTGCATGGCCTCTAAAAGGCACATTTAAAGGTGTCCCATACAATAAGTGTATTTGCTGTACCTATGTTATGTCGGAAAAAGTCAGTTATAAATTCCTTTGTTCTAATTACAAATAAATTATCATCCAATAGGCTTTGATTACATTTTCAATATCCTCGCCCACGTGGAAATTCAGTAAAAGTAATGTAAATGCCAATTATTGTCACGCCCTGGCTCTGGGGACTCTTAAATGTTGAGCCAGGGTGTTTAGTTTCTATGTTTAGTTTTCTATGTTTGAGTTTCTAGATCATGTAGATCTATGTTGGCCAGGGTGGTTCCCAATCAGAGGCAGCTGTAGTTCGTTGTCTCTGATTGGGGTCCATACTTAGGCAGCCGTTTGGCACCAGTCTGTGTGGGATCTTGTTCCGAAAGGTTTGTGTTGTAACCTAGGACTTCACGTATCGTTTGTTTATTGTTTTGGTTCGTGTTGTGTACACAAATAAAGAATGTACGCTTATCATGCTGCGCCTTGGTCCGCTTCTTCCGTCAACGAACGTGACAGAAGATCCCACCTTCAGAGGACCAAGCAGCATGCCCAGGAGGAGAAGTTGGCGATGTGTCTGGTGGGCGAATGGTGGTCATGGGAGGAGATACTCGCGGGCAGAGGGCCATGGGCAAAAGTAATGCCCAGGCAGGAGAGAAGAAACGGCGCCAACCGTGCCGACGATGGACACGCGAGAAGCAACCCCAGGACATTTTTTTTTGGGGGGGGGGGGCACACGGCGTGGACGACGGGGCTGCTGGAGGCAGCTACAGGACGAATCGGCGGACTAGGAGAGGAGGCCACCAGGTTTGGGGGGCTGGAAGGGTGGTTGGCGGAGCTTAGAGGTAGAGCAGAGCCAACTCCCCGTACTCAGGCTAGGCAGCGTGAGACTGGGCAGGTTCCGTGTTATGCGGAGCCACGTACTGTGCCGCGAGTGTTCCGGCACAGTCCTGTACGTCCTGTGCTAGCACCACGCACGTGTCGTGCTAAGGTGGGCATGCAGCCAGGACGGAGTGTGCCGGCTCAACGCTTGTGGCCTCCAGTACCCCTCCTCGGTCCCGGATATCCTGCGCCAGTGCCACGTGCTGTAGTGCCAGTACGAGTGCACAGCCCTGTACGTCCTGTGCTGATGCCTCACACAGATTGTGTGGAAATAGGCATTCAGCCAGGACGGGTTGTGTCAGCTCTCCGCTCCAGACCTCCAGTCCGTCTCCACAGTTCGGTCCGGCCTGTTCCTGGTCCCCGCACCAAGCCAGTGGTGTGCGTCGCCAGCCCGGTCCGGCCTTTTCCTGTCCCTCGCACCAAGCCTGTGGTGCGCGTCGCCAGCCCGGTCCGGCCTGTTCCTGCTCCCCGCACCAAGCCTGTGGTGCGCGTCGCCAGCCCGGCCCGGCCTGTTCCTGCTCCCCGCACCAAGCCTGTGGTGCGCGTCGCCAGCCCGGCCCGGCCTGTTCCTGCTCCCCGCACCAAGCCTGTGGTGCGCGTCGCCAGCCCGGTCCGGCCTGTTCCTGCTCCCCGCACCAAGCCTGTGGTGCGCGTCGCCAGCCCGGCCCGGCCTGTTCCTGCTCCCCGCACCAAGCCTGTGGTGCGCGTCGCCAGCCCGGCCCGGCCTGTTCCTGCTCCCCGCACCAAGCCTGTGGTGCGCGTCGCCAGCCCGGTCCGGCCTGTTCCTGCTCCCCGCACCAAGCCTGTGGTGCGCGTCGCCAGCCCGGCACGGCCTGTTCCTGCTCCCCGCAACAAGCCTGTGGTGCGCGTCGCCAGCCCGGTCCGGCCTGTTCCTGCTCCCCGCACCAAGCCTGTGTTGCGCGTCGCCAGCCCGGTCCGGCCTGTTCCTGCTCCCCGCACCAAGCCTGTGGTGCGCGTCGCCAGCCCGGCCCGGCCTGTTCCTGCTCCCCGCACCAAGCCTGTGGTGCGCGTCGCCAGCCCGGTCCGGCCTGTTCCTGCTCCCCGCACCAAGCCTGTGGTGCGCGTCGCCAGCCCGGCCCGGCCTGTTCCTGCTCCCCGCAACAAGCCTGTGGTGCGCGTCGCCAGCCCGGTCCGGCCTGTTCCGGCCTGTTCCTGCTCCCCGCACCAAGCCTGTGGTGCGCGTCGCCAGCCCGGTCCGGCCTGTTCCTGCTCCCCGCACCAAACCAGTGGTGCGCGTCGCCAGCCCGGTCCGGCCTGTTCCTGCCCCTCGCACCAAGCCAGTGGTGCGCGTCGTCAGCCCGGTCCGGCCCGTTTCTGCTCACCGCACCAAGCCAGTGGTGCGCGTCGTCAGTCCGGCACGGCTCCACTCCGGAGCAAGAGCAATCCGTTCCACCGGTGTCCAGTCCAGCTCCGGCCAGCGGGGCCAGACCAGACCAAGGGCGCAACGGGGGGGTGGAGAGAGAGTGGTGGTCACGCCCGGAGCCGGATCCGCCTCCGAGGTGGTATGCCCATCCGGCCCCTACCCTCTTGTGTTTGTGTGGCACGGTCGCAGTCCGCGCCTTTGGGGGGGGGGGGGGGGGGGGTACTGTCACGCCCTGGCTCTGGGGACTCTTAAATGTTGAGCCAGGGTGTTTAGTTTCTATGTTTAGTTTTCTATGTTTCAGTTTCTAGATCATGTAGATCTATGTTGGCCAGGGTGGTTCCCAATCAGAGGCAGCTGTAGTTCGTTGTCTCTGATTGGGGACCATACTTAGGCAGCCGTTTGGCACCAGTCTGTGTGGGATCTTGTTCCGAAAGGTTTGTGTTGTAACCTAGGACTTCACGTATCGTGTTTATTGTTTTGGTTCATGTTGTGTACACAAATAAAGAATGTACGCTTATCACGCTGCGCCTTGGTCCGCTTCTTCCGTCAATGAACGTGACAATTATATGATGGTCCAACCGCATTCTGTCCCCTATCAACACTTTTTAAACTTTTGGTGCCAACGAGAATGAGATTTGAAAGAAGTCAATACGACTAGCTTGATTGAGTCTCCACCATGTATATCTCACTAGATCAGTATATTTAAGCCTCCATATATCTACTAGTTCTAATGTATCCATGACATTCACAATTTCCTTAAGAGCATGTGGGTGATTGTTTGTGGTGTGATTTCCTTTACGGTCCATTGAGCTATTTAAAACAGTATTATAATCCCCCACCATAATAATATTGTCTTGAATTGCTTGCAGGGTTGATAATTTATTATATATATTGTCAAAGAAGTGTGGATCATCATTATTTGGTCCGTAAAGGTTAATGAGCCATATCTGTTTATGGTCCAATAACATATTTAAAATAATCCATCTACCTTGCATATCTATTTGAACAATTTGCACATTCGGATCGAAATTACTATTAATTAATATCATCACCCCTTTTGAATTTCTTTGCCCATGGGAGAAGTATATTCCCCCACCCCATTCCTTTTCCACGCAACTTCATCTCGAATTGTTGAATGAGTTTCCTGTATACAATATATATTATATTCCTTCTCTTTGAGCCATGTAAATATTGTTCTTCTTTTGTTATTATCAGCTAAGCCATTACAATTATAACTGGCTATACTAATTTCAACATACACCATAATGAGATACAAGTTTGAAGTCTATTTATTATTATATATGTTTGTAAATTTACCAATAAAAAATACCGTAATGATTGAGTGTCCATATAGCTGTACCGTGATATTTGCATTGCAACTGAGTAACCCTTCAATTGTTCTCCACTAAATCCCACGCTAAAGCCCCTCCCCATCCCAAGTTGAGCCGTCATCCCAGTGATCAACTTCCCACCCACGTCCCTCCGGATCCCTAAGGCCCCGAGAGGCCAGGACCCATCCATCGAAAACAGCACACAGTGCCACCCACAAAACAGAAGCAGATTAACCGCCAAAAGCATTTCCAATGCTGTCACCTCTCTCTCTATATATATATATATATAACTATTTAAAAAAAATTATGCATATCCTATTTTCCATCATTATCAATTAATATGCATAATAATGTCGGCAGTTCATGCGTAGGATTTTAACATATAACCCGGATTGCCATTGTATTACATTTAATTTATTGACAAGCAATTATTATCCTAGCAAATAATTCCTGTGGTCCATCCCATACCCCAACCCCCCCCCCCCCCCCCCCCATCCAACATCCCCAACTCCCCACAACCGATGCCGGACAAACACACACGCACATACTCACATACTCCAATACACTCAACCCCCCTCCTCCACAATCCACCATAAAATCAGATACTCAACGGCTCTTTCTTTCTTTCTTTCTCTCTTTCTCTCTTTCTTTCTTTCTTTCTTTCTTTCTTTCTTTCTTTCTAGTGAGGGTCTTACCATGTGAGGGTCAGTAGTACACAGGCTCTGGTCCACTACTCTACATTCTGTGATGTTTAACTCGTCCATGGCTTCAGGTAAGCTGTCAGACAGATGCACTCTGACACAGTCCTGGCTCTCTTCTTCCATTGTCCCATCAGTCGCTGATGGCAAGGTGAAGGCCTGTCCAACAATGGGATCATTGGGTTCCAGGAGAAGAGGAGAATCTGCACAGAAATAGTGTATATATCTAATTTTGTTAGTTATTGGTTTAAAGTTGTCTTTGTATTAAATACAGATGTAGGATCTTAATTTGAGCCAGTTTACTTCAGCAGGAAAATAATCCTGCAGCAACAGGAAATGTGAACTATTATGTATATTATTGAGTTGATACATTTTTCGTTAGGTCAATTCAAGTGGAAAATACAAACTTCAGAAAACTTTTTAAAACTCCAATACACTACAAGTTTGCATTTCTTGCCGTATAAGAACATTCTCAGCAACAAAATAATGATCAAATGAAGATCCTACATCTGTAGGACCATCTCCTTCACTCTTACCTGGGGTTCTAGGAGGACTATGAGATGTGGAACTTGGCATTTCCTTCAACGTTTTTTGGGGGGCCTGTAGGACTGAGGAGAAAACAGTTGAAATGACAAACTCTATATTGACCGTTTATAGAGGTGTTACCTGCGTTTCTGAGATGTGTTATCAAAAGGGAACATAGATGTTGTATCCTCATTTCTATGTTATAAAACGAAATAGTAAAGAAGCTGGGACTCTTTTTTTGAAACACTCAACATCCTGACTAGGAACAACACCTGTAATTACCTCCTCTGTGATCTCTCTCTAACTTCTCAGCAAGATCACCCAGGTCCATCTTCCTCATTGTGTTCAGTGTGATCTCCACAGCTCTCTCAGGGCCGTATCTCTTCACCATCTGATCCACTGTGTCCTGTCTGTCAGTGTTCTCCAGCTGGCTCTCTGGGATGAGAGGAAAGCCAGGCAGCTGGACGCTAGTCAGGTTAGACTGAAATGTCTTCAGCTGTTCTTCAGTGAACTCCTCCAGAGTGGTCAGCAGCAGAGCTGGAACATCCAACATGGAGGGTCTCTAAAATAACAAAGATGATCAGATATAAGGAAGAGAATAGAAATACTGACTACTGATATAAAATAAAGAACATTAATATATTAATATTGGTAGGACAAACTAGAATCTTTCTACTGGTCTCTCAATATCTCAATCTCATACACACGCACGCACGCACACACACACACACACACACACACACACACACACACACACACACACACACACACACACACACACACACACACACACACACACACACACACACACACACACACACACACACACACACACACACTCTGTGGCTGTGATCTTTATGGTGTTTGTTCACAATGACATTTGACCTCTCAGACATGACTACTAGTGTTACCTTCATGAACCTCAGCTCCTCCTCCGGCCAAGAGATCTCAGTCTTCAGATCAAGACACTCCTCCTCAGACAGGGTCAACCTGGACACAGGAAACAGTCACACACTGCTCTGTTCCCCTACACCACCACCACATGCTGTGGTCACTTCACTGTTCTACATTCATTTCACAGGTCAAGAGGATGATTCAATAGAGGTATAGAAGAGATGTTAGAGCAGGGGTGTCAAACTCATTTTAGCTCAGGGGCCACATGGAGGAAAATCTATTCCCAAGTGGGCCGGACCGGAAAAATCATGGTATATATAACTTAAAAACAACAACTTCAAATTATTTTCTTTGTTTTAATACGATCAACATACAACATAAAGCTGGAGCCTGAGGACAGTGTGTCGAAAATAGTACAAGCACAACATCACTATTAATCATAAAACACGTCAAGTTTATTTGAAAATTCTAAAGAAAAAGAACACACAAACACACAATGCCTCAGTGATTAACAGAACTGTTTCACAGATCACAGAACTATATCAGGGTGTCAATTTCTCAGGCAGAAATGTAGATAAAAATAATGAAATCCTGTTCCCCAAACAAGTGCAAGAACCACAGAGTCAAGAATAGGTTAAATATACAAATAAAATAAAATCAATTAAAAACATATAAACATAAATCTGAAAGCGTTGCTCAAACTCCCGTAACAGTCCAGTTATTTTATCTTTGAACCGCTTCATGTCTGCCACATGTTGGGTCGCGCACACATTTTTCAGACAGGGGAAGTGAGCTGCATCACCACCGGCAAGTTGCGTCTCCCACAATGACAGCTCCAACTTGAAAGAACGTATGCTGTCATAATACTGCGTGACAACTTTGTTGCGCCCTTGCAGCTGTTTGTTCAAGTTATTCAGGTGCTCTGTAACATCCACCATAAATGCAAGGTCCGGCATCCATTCTGCGGAATGAAATTCTAACACTGGTTTGCCCTTTTCTTCCATGAACTGTTCAATTTCTTCTCGTAAATCAAAGAAACGCCTCAGCACAGCACCTCGGCTTAACCATCTTACCTCAGTGTGGTATGGCAGGCCATAGATGTGGTCTTTCTCTCTGAGAAGGCTGTCAAACTGACGGTGATTCAGGCTTCTGGATCGGATGAAATTAATAGTTTGGATGACCACCTTCATGACGTTATCCATCTTTAATGACTTGCAACACAAAGCCTCCTGGTGCAAAATACAGTGAAAAGTCAAAAAATCACGTCCTCCATTTGCAGATTGCACTTTCTCTCTGAACTTTGTCACAACGCCTGCTTTTTTCCCGATCATTGAGGGCGCACCATCTGTAGCCAGGCTGACAGCACGGGACCAGTCCACTCCGACCCTGTCCAGCGCGCCGACGAGTGCGGTAAAAATATCAGCTGCTGTCGTTGTATCTGTCATCGGCACCAACTCCACGAACTCCTCGGTGACGGTCAATGTGTCATCAACTCCGCGGATGAAAAAATGGCCAGTTGTGCAACATCTGTAATGTCCGTGCTTTCATCAATTGCAACCGAAAACGCAATAAATGACTTTACTTTTTGCTTCAACTGGCTGTCCAAATCCACTGAAAGATCGGAAATCCTGTCTGCAACTGTGTTTCTTGTCAGGCTGATATTTGCAAAAGCCTGCCGCTTTTCAGGGCACACAATCTCCGCTGCCTTCATCATGCATGTTTTTACAAATTCACCCTCACTAAATGGTTTTGAAGCCACTGCGATTTCATTAGCAAGGAGGTAGCTAGCTTTCACTGCAGCGTCACTGATGTCTCGGCTGTGAGTAAACACAGACTGCTGTTTCTTCAGACCCGCCAACAGTTCATTCACCTTCTCTCATCTCCGCTGTCCTTGAAAGTTGTCATATTTGTCGGCATGAAGACTCACATAGTGGCGACGAAGGTTATATTCTTTCAGCACTGCAACATGCTCTGAACACACCAAACATACAGCTTTCCCCTTCAATTCCGTGATTAAATAGGATGACCATTTTTCTTGGAACACTCTGCACTCTGCGTCCACTTTTCTCTTTTTTGACAGAGACATATTGGGGCAATGAGGGTGCCAAAAGCACATAATGTTAAAAGTAGAAGCCGTAATAAATATCGCGGGCAAAACAAAGTAGCTCATTGGCTGCACGTGCTTGACCTACTTGCTCTGCCCCGGTATAAACAGTTTGCTTGCTTAACACAATTGCTATTGCGCCATCCAGTGGACGCAATTGGAACAGCAGTTTATTTTATTGAAAAATTGCTGCGCATTTTATCCTAAAAAAAAAAAAAAAAAAAATTTTTTTAATTTTTTAAATTTTTTTAAATCATCTCGCGGGCCGGATTAAACCCGTTTGCGGGCCTGATCCGGCCCGTGGGCCGTACGTTTGACACCCCTGTGTTAGAGGGTCAATTCACTATTTTTAAAGTTGATTATCTCTCCAGCACCATACCAGTAGACTCACATATTCAATGTTACCAGTGGCTATAACTAAACTCAGCAAAAAAAGAAACGTCCTCTCACTGTCAACTTAACATGTGTAAATATTTGTATGAACATAACCAGATTCAACAACTGAGACATAAACTGAACAAGTTCCACAGACATGTGACTAACAGAAATTGGATAATGTGTCCCTGAACAAAGGGGGGGTCAAAACCAAAAGTAACAGTCAGTTTCTGGTGTGGCCACCAGCTGCATTAAGTACTGCAGTGCATCTCCTCCTCATGGACTGCACCAGATTTGCCAGTTCTTGCTGTGAGATGTTACCCCACTCTTCCACCAAGGCACCTGCAAGTTCCTGGACATTTCTGGGGGGAATGGCCCTAGCCCTCATCCTCCGATCCAACAGGTCCCAGACGTGCTCAATGGGATTGAGATCCTGGCTCTTCGCTGGCCATGGCAGAACACTGACATTCCTGTCTTGCAGGAAATCACGCACAGAACGAGCAGTATGGCTGGTGGCATTGTCATGCTGGAGGGTCATGTCAGGATGAGCCTGCAGGAAGGGTACCACATGAGGGAGGAGGATGTGTTCCTTGTAACGCACAGCGTTGAGATTGCCTGCAATGACAACAAGCTCAGTCCGATGATGCTGTGACACACCGCCCCAGACCATGACGGACCCTCCACCTCCAAATCGATCCCGCTCCAGAGTACAGGCCTCGGTGTAACGCTCATTCCTTCGACGATAAACGCGAATCCGACCATCAGCCCTGGTGAGACAAAACCGCGACTCGTCAGTGAAGAGCACTTTTTGCTAGTCCTGTCTTGTCCAGCGACGGTGGGTTTGTGCCCATAGGCGACGTTGTTGCCGGTGATGTCTGGTGAGGACCTGCCTTACAACAGGCCAAGCCCTCAGTCCAGCCTCTCTCAGCCTATTGCGGACAGTCTGAGCACTGATGGAGGGATTGTGCGTTCCTGGTGTAACTCGGGCAGTTGTTGTTGCCATCCTGTACCTGTCCCGCAGGTGTGATGTTCGGATGTACTGATCCTGTGCAGGTGTTGTTACACGTGGTCTGCCACTGCAAGGACGATCAGCTGTCCTTCCTGTCTCCCTGTAGCGGTGTCTTAGGCGTCTCACAGTACTGACATTGCAATTTATTGCCCTGGCCACATCTGCAGTCCTCATGCCTCCTTGCAGCATGCCTAAGGCACGTTCACGCAGATGAGCAGGGACCCTGGGAATCTTTCTTTTGGTGTTTTCCAGAGTCAGTAGAAAGGCCTCTTTAGTGTCCTAAGTTTTCATAACTGTGACCTTAACTGCCTACCGTCTATAAGCTGTTAGTGTCTTAACGACCGTTCCACAGATGCATGCTCATTAATTGTTTATGGTTCATTGAACAAGCATGGGAAACAGTGTTTAAACCCTTTACAATGAAGATCTGTGAAGCTATTTGGATTTCTACGAATTATCTTTGAAAGACAGGGTCCTGAAAAAAATGACTTTTCTTTTTTTGCTGAGTTTATGTTGAGATGTGTCTGTTACTTGAACTTTGTGAAGCATTTATTTTGGCTGCAATTTCTGAGCTGCAGTTAACTCTAATGAACTTAGAGTTAACTGCAGCAGAGGTAACTCTGGGTCTTCCTTTCCCGTGGTTGTCCTCATGAGAGCCAGTTTCATCATAGTGCTTGATGGTTTTTGCGACTGCACTTGAAGAAACCTTCAAAGTTCTTGAAATGTTCCGTATTGACTGACCTTCATGTCTTAAAGTAATGATGGACTGTTGTTTCTCTTTGCTTATTTGAGCTGTTCTTGCCATAATATGGACTTGGTCTTTTACCAAATAGGGCTATCTTCTGTATACCCCCCCAACCTTGTCACAACACAACTGATTGGCTCAAACGCATTAAGGAAAGAAATTCCACAAATTAACTTTTAAGAAGGCACACCTGTTAATTGAAATGCATTCCAGGTGACTACCAAATGAAGCTGGTTGAGAGAATGCCAAGAGTGTGCAAAGCTGTCATCAAGGCAAAGGGTGGCTATTTGAAGAATCTCAAATATAAAATATATTTTGATTTGTTTAACACTTTTTGGTTACTACATGATTCCATATGTGTTATTTCATAGTTTTGATGTCTTCACTATTATTCTACAATGTAGAAAATAGCAAAAATAAAGAAAAACCCTGGAATGAGTAGGTGT